TAAACTTTCTTATTAAATCTTATGAATGTCAGCATATTTTGACAGATGGTAAATGATGAAATATCTAGCAAACAAGGGTCATTAGTTGAAAAATGTTGGTGATGAAGTGTAATTAGATAGAAAGACCTCTACTACGACTTTCATTCAGGTATTATAGATAAATCTGCACCAATACTTTATTTCAGGATCTTCTTATTAAATTTTCATTGGAAATCATCACACTCTAAAGTGATAAAATAATCTATAATCTAAACTTTCCTATTTGACAATATTTTATTTGGAGTTCAATTCTTGGCAATACATTGTACTTTCAGCACAAAATTGTTCAAATCATTCAATCAACTTCTGTAAACAATTCCATGTGCCATGGTAATCTTGCAAGATTTCACCTTTCTCGACTCTTTTGCCAGAGAGTGGTAGTAATTAAGTTAGATAACTGCGAGTTACTCTCAATTTTAAGTATTGACCAGTTTAATAAAAAATCTGTGAAATGTAAAAAAATTATAAAACCCATCCACTGCAATTTTTCAAAAAATATGGATGATAATCTAGGATTTTTATTTTATTATGGCCTAAAAATAGCATAGTCTTAAATATGGAAATAACATACTTCTCGTCTTCTGCTTTGCCTCCTGGATGTAACAGCATGTCTCTGGTTGGTTCCTTTCTCTTTTCTTCTCTCAGAATCCCTTAGCGATTTAAAGTAGCGGTAACAAGCCCCTGCAAGGTATGAAAATTATCTTATAAGAAATAATTGAAGAAAAAAATTATCACTAGCATGCTGCAATGGATTTCTGCACATGGACACTGACACATTTGTATACTAAAGAAGTTCTTTCATGAATTATGCATTGTATGTAGTCCTAAAATTTTTCATAGATAAATGGACCTGTACTATGACTTTCATTCATTATTATTAGATAACCGATAACAAATTACAGGTTATAGATCCCTTCATTATTCAACCAAGTTCAATTTGTTATACTGGTTACTGAGGTAAAGATAACACTATTGTTCTTATGAATATACGTTTGTTATACAGGTCTGGACGATTTCTAAATAAGGAAGTCAAAAACTATAACCGTGAAACATCAAGAGTCACTGAATGGGAACAAGTTTGATGGTGAATTTAACCCTAAAACATATGGTGTACAAGACCCTTTTCATATGACATATTATGTCAGAGACTTATTCCCTTTAGTCGTGATAGTGTAGGGCAACATTCCCAGATCCCTTCATTATTCAACCAAGTTCAATTTGTTATACTGGTTACTGAGGTAATCAACACTATATTTTTAGTTTGATGAAGCCTTTTTTAAATAATTATTTCAAAGATTGTAAATATTTTTTCCCCAAATTTCTTGCAAGTGTGGTTAAAACTGGTTGCTCAAAGAGGTAAATCCATTATTTTGTCCAACAAGATGGTGGCTAAGGGGAATAACTCTAACTAAAGGAAAATATGTAATAGGAACTTGTCTTTTCAGAGCATGTAGGGAAAAGCACATCTACATTCTAAACTGTTTATATTACCGGTACTTTTTATGTTACATTACATTAGATTTTTCTAATAGATTTTGCATTCATGGTTAAAATCACCCTCAACAGAACATTTATAGCATCAATGGAGACTGTATTTTTTCTTTTGTTTGTTTTTTTAATGATTTCTTGTGTATTATTTGTCTTTTACAATTTCTTTGTACTGGTAGTCAAGTTTTCTGAAATTTGTATTCTGGATTAACATGATTAAACTAGAAAAGTGGAAGTAAACCCCTGGGATGTGTTTTTTTGACTCTAGAATGCTATGAGTTTTAAACTCACCTTCTATTTCAGCTGTAGTAAATGGACACTTTTCCTTTCCACCATGTGCATCTCTCACACCCTTGGTGATTCTTTTTGTTGTTAGTTCATTCTCTATGCTATGGATACTAATAACAAAGGAAATGGTCAGTTAATTCAATAGTTTTATTTATTCTAGAAACATTTAAGAATAAAAAATAAACATTTTTATCTGCGAATTAATAAATAATCAAATGCTTTATAAGCTAGGTCAAAAGCATTATGTAAATCTGGTACTCCCGACTCTTGCAAATATTTTCTGACATAAAGGCTTATTTTCTATTTTAAGGTGGTTTGATAACCAGACACCAGTATTTGAGCAATTTTTGTTTGGACCTCTTTTTAGAATTAAATCATGCATTAGATCTTATTCATAAATTCCCAAAGTCTCTGATGAGACTGTTGCTCTACTGGTCTGTACAAACAACAAGAAAAGATAGCACTTTTAAAAGAAAATATAGCAACAAGAAATGAAGGAAAACTAATCACAACAGTTGGTGTGTATATTTTTTTATAAAAACTTTTTATAGTGCATGGAGAGTGCTTTCATTTTTGAACACTATCATATTTTGTATGTACATGACTGTTTAATTTATTGTAAATGTATATCAGGGTTTGCTACTGATATTTTTAGGCTTTGATCCGGTCAGTGTTACGACTTACACTTCTTTTACTTTAATTAGTCTGATTTTTTATGAATTTATGAGGGTTGTCCCCAAATTCCGTAGACAAGCATTGTTTTGTAGGAATCGTGGGTCATACATTAATGAAACCTTGTATATAGATTAAACCAATACTATCTAATAAATTTATGGACAAATATGGAGTAACTACTCAATTTATTCCAATTTAAAAAACGCATTTCATTGTCTGGTGTAGGAAGGCGGCGCAATGCCCAAAATTGCAAATTAAATTTGGTATATTATATTTAAAATGTTACGGAAAAGTAATTACTATCCCGTATTATTTCATGGAAATGAAAATTATTAATATTGTTTTATTAACTATATTTCTTTAACTTTTGGTGTTTCTACTGTGATAATTAAGAATTTTTTAACGGTTTATATACATGGGGTTGAATTCCGACATTTGACTAATTGGCGGCTGCGTTGGCACAGGCGGCGCACTGGACTATGATCAAGTGTTTTGATCCTGAATTCACTCTTACAGAAATGTACTATTCACAAATGTTTGGTAGACTAGGAAACACTTTCTCGTCATGTGTATTTAAAATGACTAAAACGGTTTCTCTATGTATATGTGAATAACAGTAGCTAAAATAAAAGACAGGGCTAAGAAATGGGCAAGAGTTCCACTGTGCAACCCCATTAAAGAAAAGAGATGAAAAGCCCATAGAAATATGGCGTTTTCAAATTATTATTATTTCATACCTGTACATGCATATACTTTGTTGACATATTTTAAGTTTGAAAATATCATAGTAATGAAGATATTTCACATTTATAACTGCAACAGTTTCCTTTATTTTAAGAATTTGATTCTAATAATTAAAATATTGTCCTCAAAAATTTGAACAATTGACATTTGTATTATTTGACGTTGCAGATTGCACCGGATGTTGGGGAACGATATCACTTTAAATGTTATTTAATTACTTGAAAATTTTTTAATTATTCACAATAAATTTTGTAATTTATCTTCCAAGAACACGCTTTATCTACCCTGAAAATGATATGAAAATACATTAATTTTTTTAAAAGATATAAGCTCAGTCTACGAAATTTTGGGACAACCCTCAAATAGTACGTACAAGTGTTATTTATCTAAAACATGTACCAAACTATAATTAATGAACTGTTTTAAAAAATTCTTGAATTCCCGCTTCTAAATGAGCTCAGAGTGTTTACTTATTAAGTTAATTTTCTTTACCTTCCTTCCCTCCTAAAGTTGTAACCAAACGTTGAGTCTCCTTTCTGCAATGTTTTATACACTTCTCTTGTGGCATTCTGTAATAAAAATAAACCTGAAAATTAAGAATGATGCACTACATGTTTTTCAAAATATTTATACTTTGAACCAAAGAATTTACATTTGCTGAGGTCATTCCTCATTAAACAATGCTAATAAAATTGAAATTCAATTTTCAATGACATGCAATAGGTCACATGATCAGACTTTTGTGCGTATGGAAACTGCACGAGTAATTTTGAAAGTTTCAACTGTGACGTCATATGATGTCGTAATCAAAGTCTTAATAATGCTTATAATTCTTTGTAACATGAATGAAAATGTAAAATAGAAATATAAGAAATAAAATATCATTTTTTAGAGTTTCATTGGGGTATGACCTGAAGTCGTTACATGATCAAAGAATGACTACACTTAAGCTTTGAGAGTTGGATCCTGATGTTTTGCGCAAAATAAAATTCCAAAATTCATTAAATTTATGTTTTATAGGTATTAAACAATATCTTAAGGGGTCTAACAGTTTTGTCTCATTTCTATTGTCATTCATATGCATACCAGTTTTCAATGACATTATTTACATAGAGCCGCAACTTGGCCAATTTTCTCATTTGCTCAGAATGTGTATTTTGATTAAAACTTATACATATTCAAAGGACAATGTTGGCCAAGTTGTAGATCATAGCTAATTTAAAAAAAAAATGTTCCCAAACTTTGCTCAAGGTATTTACTAAATTGTCAGTCAGCCCATGTGACCCTTTTGATATTACATAATACATTGTATTATCATTTTTCTCACGTGACATTCAAGTGTTCTATACGCTCTCATTGTGTCAGTCGTTGGAAAATTCTTTTTATACCATCTTCAAAATATTGATTACCCTTGCATACATTTTATTGGGATTTTAAATTTTATGTTGACATCAGTGAGTTAAACTATAGTGTTTTTGTTCAGGATATTTCATAGAAAAGATGTATTATTTTGCTGATTGCATGCTGTATATATAGCAGTGGCGGATCAAGAAATTTTGAAAGCGGGAGCCCAACCAGTTTTTGGTCAGGGTAAAGGTCCACATTCACACCAAAAAACTTAACTTTTTATTTTATTTTTACTTAAGATAAAGTGAAAATGTCATTTTTTTTTAATACACTGTAGGAACGAACACATAATTCTTTTAAGAGTTAGTTAATTAGCTGCTTGACATCAAATAATACATGAGCAGTGAGATTTTAAGCATTCCAATTTTAAGAGACCGTTAGATAGAGAAAATTATGTATTGCTTGATAATGTAAAATGCAGAAAATCAGATTTTTTTTATGCATCGTCCTTTGTACTCTGAATACCGATCAAAACTTTTTTTTGAAAATTAACGCTGGCAATAATCAAATGGCATGGTCATATGTTGATGTGTAAACTTATTCCAAATTATCCTACAAACAGGTTGCAAATTATTTTTCATTTATGCTAAGACAGCCCATAATGTTCAGAAAAAAAAGTATATTAGTGTCATTTATATCTACCAATAATTTGTAAAACAGACACTACCAACCTAAGCGTACAAAATCCATACATAAATTTATTACAATTGTGCTTATTTTTATGAACTTATTGTTTTTCTCTTAATGTTCTGCTCTTTACTTACTTACTTTACCATACATGTTAACCTATTGTGATGAAAAATAGGGAGATTCAGACCTCAAAAGCGGTAGCATTGCGCGCATGTTGTTTAACGCTTGGATTATCAATATTTTTCATGTAATATACATGTATATTATAAGCCCTAAATGAAATCAGGTACCTACACAATTAATCTTAAATTTCAACAGCATAGAAGAAGACGGAAACACCTTAAGTTTGACATAAATTGTACAAATTCAAATATTTTTCATGCTCATCATTTTGCTTGGAATTGGCTGCTTTACTTAGCCTTTTGAAGAGTGATCTTTGCTGATATAGCCTAGAAGCAATAATTCTGAATGTTCATTCAGTTTTAAAAATTAAAAGTAAGTAGAGATGTGCCACATGACTTGGTCAATCGAGTGATTTCTATTTACTTATCAATTTGACTCTATATTGACTCTACTGAGCTTCTGTGCTTTTAAAGACGATGTCAAATTTTTTAATCTAATTCTTAAAAGCTGTATCTCCTTTTTCATGGCAGGGATATTGATTAATTTATCGTAACCAATGTAATCACTGGTAGTCTTATGTTGTTGTCGTTGTCAAATCCGTGCTTGAAATCTATGTACAAAAAAGCGTTTGTATGATTCCGAGTCAAATCACGCGATATCTAGCGAGATTTGATGAGAGTGGCTTCAAAAATGGATACCCAAGCGAACCAAAAATACTTTAGACACAGATTTTGTAGAAAAGCGGTAGATTTCTGAATTAAATCGATAGGCTGGAGATGGAGTGAAAAAGCGGTAGGCTCCCGCCTAAATTGGGAGAGTTAACATGTATGACTTTACTTATTTTTAAATTAATGAAGTGATATGCATGGTTATAAATCATTTATTTTTTGTACACAATGAACACAAAACCCTCCTCTTAGCCTTTTTCATAAATATAATAATATATATTAAATACAGAAAACCATGTGCTTATGACCCATTTCCATGTGATTTAAATGTCTACACCCCTTTGCTGCAACCTTAAAATCGAAAGCGGTCTGGTTCAATTTTCCTGAATTTATGGCTTCAACAGTGGGTCTGGTTCAATTTTCCTGAATTTATGGCTTTAACATGTTCTTTTCAATAGTGTATGTAATTATTGAAATATATATGACAAAAAATCTAGAAATAAATATCAAAAGCATATGCTTGTACATTAATCATAGATTAATTTAGGAATAAATTGTAATGTTATGCTTAAAATTGGTAGCCAAAAACGTTCATAATAACGTCCTTAAGTGCGGTCATTCTTTACTCCAAAGAATTTGATCATGTGACTGACTTCAGGTCATACCCCACTGAAACTCTAAAATTGATATCTTATTTCTTAAATAAATATATTTTCAAACCAATTAAAGATCAGAACAAAATGCAGTGATATTCTCAATATTCATTTGCCAGTCATGGCATTTAGTTTGAAGTATATTTCTTGCAGCTGATATGTTTTTTAATTGCAACGGATGTGATGAAGTTAAAAAATTATAAAATGTCAACCTTAATATTAAGGTTGCTGTTCACTGATGTTTATACTTTTGAAACATTTTAATTGGTAATTTAAAAGTTATCATTTTGTTTGCTTGTTAATGTCCGTCCTCAGAATTTTCATTCATGGGGAAAATACTTTTAAATAACATGTTCAATTCATTTATTCTGACCTTTTAAAATCTGAAACTGTAAATTTCTATTATTTTGAAGGGTACCTGAGAATAGCACTAATTCTGCAATAAGGGATGTTCCTTTACTTAATGTTATATTCAAGTGGTTTGAATTTTAAACTGATAAATAATGGTACATTTTAACAACTTATTAAAATATAATAAATAACTTTAACAAACAGTGAAGAACATTTATCATGAATATTTTGATGTGCTTATTATCATTATTTGATAAAAAAAATCATAAATCACTTTAAAGCAAGTGCAGCGAGTGTCGCAAAGTGAACGAGTTAGATAGACCAACGTGTAAAGAATAGAGGAAATTTGGAATTGTATATATGTCAAGCAAATTTTGTTGTGAACATTCCTAGAATTCCTTTAGTGGGCTTTACTCAATGTCTTTTGCGCAAAAACATATATAAATAATGACGAAGAAGGATTAAAGACTTTCAATTTGTAGAAATCTTTCAAAGAAACAATAAATAATGTTGCATTTTGACGAAAAGTGCACTAGATCCATTGTCTAAACCAAACGCTTGGCAGTGTCTCCGTAAGCTCAGACGAGTTCCATGACAATTCACATCTAGTCAAGATGTCTCATGCATCACAACTATCTTTCTTATCAGAGTATCCAATGTACCTGAACATGCTTTGTTGAATATTGATCTTACAAAAACATTGAAGATAACTTACACTACATTCTGAGGAGACAGCCTGCTTCTTGGGAGTAGAAGACTGGGATGTTGGGCTGGTGTTGTTGTTGTTCATCTTACCACTCAGCTCAGACAATACTTTTACTAAGCGCTGAATTGGCACTCCATTGGAATTTCTGCAACAATTGAAGGGGACAAGTATTAATTTTATATCAAACAATTGCTAACTCTATGATTGCATGATTAAATTCATGTCACATCCCAAAGAAACTTTTAAAAATTATATCTTAATATTTCTTAGATTTATAAGTCCAGATAAAATTAATCTTAAGGATTTCAATCCCTAATGGTACCAAATTCTCCACCCTTTAATGTTCGTCAAGTACACAATACATGTACTTTGATATCATATTAAAGCATTTAATAGTGGAAAAGGATTGCCCATGAGAAATTTTCAACAAGTTCATTCATTTAGTAATAGTTAATTAACAAAGATTGCATTGAAGTCTATGGGGAAAAGCGTTTTTTTCTAAATAAAAATTCAAATAATTTTAATATCAATAAATTCTGTGGTGGAAAGATGCATTGAAATATTATGAATAAAATGATAACTAAAAACAATTTTTTAACCAGCTAAATTTTTTTTAATTGATTTTTTTTATTAATTAATTAAAAAAGGGGAGATTATTCTTACCAAAATTCAAGGTCATTAAATAGGACACTTCCCACTAAACATACTTATAGTAATAAATGGGAGGTATGTCTAAATAAACTGAGTATTCAATGCCTACAGTACATATATATCTATTATGTCTTCAATTTCATTGAATTTCTTCCTATTAGGGATTGAAGACCTTAAGATCTTCATCTTAATTTGCTAAAAAGAAATTGCAGGTGGGCAGATTTTATTTTTTATAATTGAAAGTACTAGTATCGAGAAAAAATAATTTAAATGGACTCTTTGTACACAATTTTTTTTTTCAATATGTTAATGTCAATATGAAGAGTTTTGTTGCTTTCATATTCTTTTAAGTATCTACAGAAGAATTTTGTTTTGAAAAAGTAAATATTTATAGTAATAAATATTCTAATCAAGTACACATATATGACATGGGCCAATCAAAATGAGGTGCATATACCAATAAATTGTGTATTAATGACTTCTCATCACCTTTCCCCATACACCTTTTAGTTTTATCAACAAAACATTTTGTTTTTTTGTAAAATATCACAGATTTCCAACTTGAAGCTCCTTTATTGGGGCGGACTAGCTAATTGATACCTTTGATATTCCGTCGGACTAATACTTTTGAGAAGAAAAAATATTTTAATCCCATGATTTTTTTTGGGCCGCCTCCCAATTTAAAATATGCCTGTATTTTTCCTAAATGTTGTGGGAGTTATCTCAAAGAAAAACTTACGAAATATGAAGTTTGTTTATTACATGTTTTAAAGTAGAGTTCAAGCAGATTTTGTGGTTGTTCATCCATGTTGGTGGCAGAGGGTAGTTTTTTTTGCAATCAAAACATTTGATTGACGGTTTATTTCAAATCAATTCAGCTGCTTTTAAAATGTGGATTGAAAAATTTAAAATTTCCTCTACATGTAATAATAGTTTGATGTAGTCCTTTGAGAAATTTGAAGCTTTAAGGAATAAAACATGTACAACTTCCACAATGAGCCCTAAATATGCTGCAGGGATAATCTCAAAATTTCATGTGAATCAAGCCTATTTTAATATTTCACTGCAGCCGCATCTGCTTTCAAAATTTTCTATCAATATGCTTATTTATTTCAGACTACTGAACATTTAATTGTTTGAAGTTTTTCTGCAGTAAATTATACCCACAATGCTTAGCTTCGTATACAAATGCAGACGCAATTTTCTTGCAAGAATAAGAACATTTAAGAATGAGCTAAACATAGCTTTACAGTTGATAATCTAGGTCTTTTGGTTGTAACATAAGTTTATAACCATATCTAATGCGATATTCTATGTTTTCCAACCGTAAACTATACTTAACACCGAAAACAATCACAAACCGTTATTTACTATAGGTAACGATATGATAAACATAGTTTCACGATTTGTGGAACTATGATTAACAACTCTTTATTATAATTTCGATTGTAAACTATAGTTTACAAACGCGAATCTATGTTTATCAATAAAATCTATTGTTAATGCTTTATTCAGATTTTGCATAGACTCACATAGGCTTAACTCGCCCTTATGGACATCACCATCAATGAATTTTCATGTGAAATGCCATTGCAATACTAAACTCTTGATATATACAGAAAATATGAGAAAATATTCTAAACTGTGTTCTATCAGGTATGGTACAAGCACTAGATTTAGCTGCTTTGCTTGATTTACCTACTTAGCTTTACCTGTATATATATACTCAGTCTTGCTTCTCATTAACTCGCGGGTTCTGTTGTATCGCAGTATAATCCAGAAATTAAGATACATAGCTCATGTCCTTTCTGTTAAAATACTATGTGTTTGTCGTCCGAATGATTTACAGCCAAAGTAATAAAATTAGAATAACACTTTTCATGTAAAAGGATTAAGTACTGCGATATTATGAGACAGCAGTAATCCAGTATATACCTGTAGTGGCCGACATGATGATGATAACCTACCGGGTATAAATAGTATCCAGAGGAGGTTCCAGATTGTTTACATTTGAAAGTACTTTGTAATACTACAATAAATTAAATGACAGGCATTCTATCTTTCAGCACATAAATGAAATGAACGAACAATTTTCGTCTCAATTGGATCCCGCATGGATTTTGAACCATGCCATCTTGACTTGAGCCAACGCTGTCATCCTAACGCGCCATTTTCATCTAGTATTTAGCGGAAACCAAACCCGACTTTTGAAAAGATCCCGAGTTATAATTCAATTCAATGTAATACTAAAATGGGAATAAAATTTAATGTCGGAATTCACAGTGTGTCTGATTAGACAGTTGTCACTGTAACAGGGGAATGTTTAGCCCTTAGGGCTTAGCCCCCCCCCATTTTTTTTACCCAATATCCTTAGTAGAGACATTGAACATTGTTTCGTAGGTCCCCCCCCCTCACCGGTACCCCTCACCCACTTTCCACAGACACGTCGCAGTATAGGTTTAACATGGGAAAAGTGGTAGTTTTTAAGGAAAAAACTGAAGTTCTTACCTAATCACTACCCCCCCCCCCCACACACACACACACACACGCACGAAATAGGATTTTTGTGTTTGAGACATTTCCTTTTTTCCTTGTCAAGTTTTTTTTTTTTGGAAAGTCCTCCCACTTTCAATTTCCTTCCGACGCCAATGTAACCGTCATCGTATAATTGGGTACCACTTTACATTGGCGTCGGAAGCAAATTGAAAGTGGGGGGGGGGGGGCTAAGTGTAAGAAAAAAATTTTTGGTCCACCAAAAAAACCTGACAAGCAAAATAAATTTAACCTATACTAAGACGTATCTATGAAAAGTTGGGGGGGGGGGGCTAAACTTGCGAAGATATGTTAAATGTCTATACTAAGTAAATATTGGGGAAAAAAAGTGGGGGGGGGGCTAAACTTGCGAAGATATGTTCAATGTCTATACTAAGTACATATTGGGAAAAAAAGTGGGGGGGGGGGGGGGCTGGCCCCCCCCCCCCCCCCGGTTCCGACGTCTATGCTTTAACTTGCCCTGTAAAAAGGGGGTCCTTGTAACACTTACCAATTCAAATTTCTAAAACGTTTTAGAGTTTTAGAATGTTGATGTATTACTTCAAATATCTAACTTTCATTCAAATACTCAAACTAATTTGGTATGTTGAAATTTAATATTTTAGTTCTGAATTGAACTCTTTGTCAAAAGGCTGCAATGAACATTTTTGATTCACGGATTAACAATAAATAACAGTAAATGAAACATGCACAGCTACGAATTTAAATAAAGCATTGTAAACTGTTTAGATCTTATTGGTTGAATACGAAGTTCATATCCCTAGTTCCTGTGTTTCCCTTGCATTGTCCGCAGGAGAAGACAAGTATATATAATTTCATTAAAACTGAACATAAAATGTAATAAAAGCAAGGACATAGCAACTTTCATTGTATTCTTCATGAATCTAGTGTAAAGTAAATAACATGTAGAAATTTTCTCACATCGAATACCATTTTTTCATCTTTTTTCACTGATCATCAGGCATCTCAAAGTTTGTTCAGATGAAAACATTACTCAAATTTTCGAAAATACATAGGATATTCCTTAAATAATCAGGAAGATGTACATATTTGAAAAAAAAAATACAAAAAATACAATATGGCCGCCAAGCAAAATTTGTAAATTCTGTACATTGAAACGAATCAAACGACAACAATAAATGTGTGTTTCTAGCTTTTTATATACTATTTTACGTTGATATGCTAATTTATTCAAAATAAGCTAATGTTTATGCATACTTACTCCATGATTGACACAAATCACCTCCCCGCCTTAGGTTACAAACGTTTCTTCTTTCTCAATGGGGACGCTTCTTTGGCGTGGGTATTCTCTGTATTCATTGGATAAAAAAGTCACGTGACTGTATAAGCCAATCACATCACACCAAGGGGACGCTATCTCTCTGCTTCCACTGATCAGCTGATCGAGCTCAACCAATGAGAAACGAAGAGCCCCATACGAAAGGACGCCATTTTTCAACAATTAAAATAATCGACTACAAATCAATTATAAGATCAAGGCGGAGTCAAATCAATTATGTAAGTATTTTTTACTAATTATCATAAATACATTTATTTTACGATTTTATTCTTAAGAAAACACAAGAATATCACGAATTCTGTCAGAAAACACACACATATTCAGCTGATGGTTGAAAGGAAATTACAACATGTTTTGCAATCATTATTTAGTAAAGTTGCACAATAAGAATTCTTTTCTCATCGAATATTAACAGGTGTATTTTTTGCATTTGATTATAAGGAACTTCACTCATACACAATCGTTAAAATCTACAATAATTCGTGGTGTATGCTAGCTCTATGATGAAATTTTTATTGATGAAACCTACAGTTTTACCATGTCGAATTTTTTCATTTGTCTCCGAATATGTGACAGCATGCCTTTCATTTTATCCATGCAAATTTAAGATGATCTTTTAATAGTTAGAGAATTAGATAGTTCGAGGTCATCAAATTATACAGAAAATGAACAACACTAACTTAATTCAAGATGGCGACCAACGGTCGGTCGCCATATTGAAATCAGATTTCCTCCTCTATTTATTCAACCATATTTTTTTTATCAATGATAAGTTATCATACAGGGTAATTTTGGAAGATGTCAGTTTTTTTTACGATTTTATGCCTTTCAGCATTTTTCTTTAGTTTTTATTGATTTTTGCCCATAGAAGTATTCCATACCGGTGTAAATAGGTAATTTGTATTTTTGGGGGAAAAGTGTAGTAAATAACTGTTAAATCGTAGTGGGCCTACTGCTTGGTCGCTGGTTAAATTTTTGGAGGAGTTCTGGTTTAGGGCGAACGCCACGTATACCCCTGTATTCAGCTGTTGAAAAATATTCTATATAGCCTACCAATTTTATTTATGATAAAGCTAACCATGCTAACATTCAAATTATAAACCTACTGTGTTTTTAACTATATGGTAGTGAGCTGAGGTTGAAAGTAAATCTAACGTTACACACGGCATATAAATTTTGTATTTCATACTGCACAAGGTTTCCATATTATATTGTTTTCTGGTGTGGAACTCTCACGTTTTGGGAGATAACATTAGACCTGAACAATTGAGCCACCGGCACCGTGATTCGGTGATCTGAAGTTTTTGAAATTAGAAAATGTCAATAACTGAAGAATTTCAGTAAGTTATTATTGTGAGACTGAGTGGTATGAATATGGTAGGTCTATTAGATAGCCTAAGTTGTTCTCTGCACGTTGGATTTCCTTTAACGGGAGGAAAAACAGGTGGGTCGAGGTGTAGGACTATTAATCTGTTAATATGTTAGTTGTCTGAGTGAAAGAACTTGTTCTTAAAATACCTCACAAGTTTAACTGTTTTGCTTGCAAATATCCATTGCCAATTCTGTAGACATAAAAGGAAAAGGACTACTTAAAAAAGATTCACATGAATCAGTTAACTCTTAGACTTGCTAGATCCAGTAACTGTCACACTGTGTTAATGAAATAGTCAATAAAAATGAATGATACAGGTATATAGGCCTACTGTCAGAATTACATCTTTTACATTATAGATTTTCTCAAGGAATATTGGTTAATCTTCCCACTTAGATTTGTAATTTATGACAGGAAATTTTTATCCATAATTTATGATATAGAGATTTTCTGTGATGAAAACAACTCATAAATAATTCTCATAACCCTAGTTTTGTTTGAGTTGCACACAAGTGAGCATAACCGTGTTGGCTTGTATACTGTTTTTTCATTCTCAAAAAGATAGAGATTTCATAATTGGTATTAAGGCCTATATACTATGAAGACCTTGTTACCCTGACTGTGGCCATTATATGCTAAAAATGCTTTTTTGTACCTTCGCCATAATTTTTGAAACATAAGCTATAGAGACTACATATTTGGTATTCTTTTGACGAAGCAATGACCTTGTGATCTTGAATGTGATCTATGCTAAAATAACTTATCGCACTTTTTTTTGGTGCAAGGCGCATAGTGTTAAATACAAACACATCTTGTTTATAGAGCTATGATCTTCCTACATGAAAACTTTTTGAATGTTTCCTCTAAACACCAATCAGGAAATTTCAACAATATTTTTCAAGATTAGTGAGTCTTGCCAGTATACTTTAAGCACATGAGGATAAAATAACAATGTCATCTGCAGACATTAAACAGATATTAACAGTTTCATGTACTAAATTCATATGGTTGCTGGGATATCTTGTATCATACATCATTTTATTATTATATTATAATTTTAAGGTATATTGCATGAAAATAAAAAAAAATAGGCAACTTGCAGATCATACACTTTATTATACATTAATACTTTTTGACAAATAGCATTGAAGTTGGCCTTTTTAGATTTAATTGAATCTATATCACCAGTACATAATAATGATTATTCAAATAATTAACATCTTCTTATAGTTCATAAAACAACTTTCATTCCAACAAATTAAAAGAGTTTCTTATGTTCAACATAATGCAGAATTAATTGTTATGTCACATGTGTTGAATAACAAGTTCAACAAAAGCAGTCTCTGGCATCCTTGATGTCTATTTGGATCCTTTCACTCGGAAGAATGTTCTTCGTATGGTAAAGAAATACTTCTCCATTCCACTTCTTGGATTCATGCTTACTTCATTAAAATGCACTAAGTCCTCACAGTAGTCCTTTGGAAAAGTAATGTCCTTGAAGCGAATAAGATTACGTCCAAGCTTTTTCTTTAACAGAGTATTCACTTTACGTCTTTGATGTTCAAATGTTTCCATGGTCAATCCTGGAGTGTATTTGGGATTAGGTCTTCTTTGTACCACCTCACCAAAAAGAACTGTCTCTACACCATACTGTTTTAATTTATTCCCTACTTCCAATATTAGCTGAGCAATTTTGGTAGGATGGGATGTAGCACTGATATTATTCCCACCAATGTGCACAAATATACAGTCTGGTTTGAATTCTTCTATCTCCCTCCAAAAATGTTCTGGAATATTGTCTGCCTTCAGTCCACCTTTTCCCCAGAATTTAACTTCACCTGGCACTTTAAGATCCCCACGAAAATGTCTCTCCAAGCGAGCAATGTAGCTGCTCCCTAGCAAACCAAACTTCACCATCTTTTTAGTTAATGAGACAAAATGGGAATGGGTTCTAACTGATTCTTTCATTGAGGTTAAGTGTTTAGTATTTATCTGAATTAGTCCTGTTCCAAGTGATTTAATTACAAGCAATTAAATCTTCAAATGGTCATAATTATAGAACATGTTGAAAGGAGAAATTTAATTATTATTGATAGTGCCTAGACAACAATTCACTTTGATGTCATATCTTTTGAAAAGGATGATAATTATTTCTGCTCCCCAGTTCTTAAATTGGAAAAGGATTTTTTTTTTAATTAGGCTAAAATAACCCATTATCATGATTAGGTATTTCTTTCATGCAATCTTTGGACACCCCTTTATTGGCAGATTTAGACATGAAATGCAAAATATCATTATCAATATTATTAGTTATATTTATTACTATTAAGCAAACTTTTTTTTGTTATCATGGTATACCATGATTTATTTATTTAAATGTACTTTTAATTTTGATATGTATATTATAATGTTGTAGGTATAATAAATCAAGATGACATCATGCCATCACATTGTAAAGAGTGCCCTGAATGTGGGAGTACTTTCACAAAAAGAAGCTTCAGTAGACATGTGCAGAAATATTTTGACAATGTCAACAATTTATGGATTCCTCACCGAGTATCAGACACCAGTTCAAGGACAATTTTTTCCTCTCCAGTTTCAACTCCTTCTTCGTGTCTCTACAGTATATCTGATGATGATTCTGGTAAGAATCTAATCATGCTTATATTTATTAATAGAATATACATTTTTATTTTATACCCATGATCATCCTGCAATATTTTATCAATCTGTTGAATATTTAGTATTATGAACTATTTGCGTTTATATAGATTATATAGGGTCTATAAATAAAGTATATAATAAACATTTTTATTTTATACCCATGATAATCCTGCAATATTGTATTAATTAACAGAGGCAAAAATGACTGACAGTTTTGTTGCAACAACTCACCTAATGGACAATTTATAAATTTATCAAGTAAACTCAAAAAAATGATTTAAAACACACACACATTTATATTAAACCATATTTTGCAATTCATAAAATAATCCGTTTGAAAATATTTGGCGTTATGAGCAGGTCCACTACAGTATTATATACTTAACATGCTTAATGTCACCAGGGTTAAAAAGAAATGATGGTCAGCAGCTGGTCTAGTGCCATTGAATGTTTAATCTGGGCAAGTGCATTTTAGGGGACATATATACCCTTTTAATCCAATGTTTATCTCAATGCATTGGTTGGACTTATTAACTTGAAAGTTCATATTGCATTCAAGTTTTTCTTGTTGTGTATAGACTATAATAGTTGTACTATCAAGTAACACAATACTAAACAAAATATTACTTGATTTTTTATAATTGAATCATGTAATTGTTAGTGTATGAGAGTCGCAGTGATAAAATTTAAACTAATGTGATAACCTAAGTAACCTGTGAAGACAAATTATTATACATAGCCTCTAAAGTTATCATTTAATAAACTTCATGGCATCATCATGATCATACAAGTCCCTTGCTCATGTTCAAAAAGGGAATGAGTTGATTATACTAATTTCATTTAACAAGCAGGCACGTAGCTGCCTCTGCACAAGTACACAAGTGCGTACACATCATTTTTCAAAAAAAAGAAAGAAAGAAAGAAAGAAAGAAAGAAAAGAAAAAAGAATAAAAAAGAAATCAGAGATATTTATTTGGAGAAAAAGAGGCACTATCTGTCTTTCAAATTATTTTACGTCTTATTGTTTCTATCCAAATTTTCTTCAGAATATCGTTAAAATCCAGTCTTTTATAAAATCAAATCCAAAATTCTTGCGTAAGAAAATATTGTTGAACAAAAATTTTCAACTGTTAATCCGAGTAATCCTGATTATCCGGACAAATACTAGCTGCAGATCTGTAGCTCTCTGGTTGAAAAAAAAATCGGATAGACAAACCAGAGATTTGTCTATCCGAATTTTTTCAACCAGAGAGCTACAGATCTGCAGCTAGACAAATATGTATTTGATGAAGGAAAGCATTCTAAGTGACATTGATCTAAAGAAAAAGTTACAAGAGTCTTGGAAGACTATACAAGAATTTCCGTTGAAGTAATGAACAACAACAAAAAAAAAAAAAACAAACCAAAAAAATCCAAAGTCAAATTCAATTACTGAACAAAATACTTAAGTAAATAAAGATATATATAACATTTATGAATATCTCCTTTTACTGATGTTACCAATTTATAGAATTTAAGTACTCTCACATTGTTTAAGCTATCAGAATATAAAGGTTTTCAAAAGACTCACACCCCCGTTTATATTTGAAATACTTTAACTCCAATATGATAAATTATTAAATTATTTCTCTGTTTAATCTTTTCACACTTGGAAACTTTTTTTTCCAATACCAATATATTTATAAATTAATTTTATCAAATTATCCTTCTCTTCCCGAAGTATCCATGGAAGTATAACTTAGCTAAGTGTTTGCTTTTGAAAAGAGTGTGATTTAATTCTTTTAAAGGAAAATGACTGAAAAATTTTGTAAAGTCCAGGAGCTTCCAGGGGCTTCGCCCCCTGGCCCCCCACCAGGGCGTCGCCTTGGGCCCGCTGGGGGCCTCAGGGCGGCCCCCAGACCCCCGACCATTTTCTGCGTACACTTCATTTCAATGCTGGCTACGCCTATGACAAGTTACCATATATAATGTTATAAATTTGTATATTTATACTGAGGGATAAAAATCTTATAAAAAGAACAGTATTCAAAAATTAAATGATATTATTGATGGTTTGTTCATGATGTAATTCACTTTTCTTACTATTTTAAATTTTATTTTAGACTCCAATGACGCATTTGAGCCTAGCGGTAATGTGTTTGACATGTCAGGAATACACAACCTTGAAGCAGGAACTGATGATGATGATCTCCCACCTGCAGAATCCCAAAATTACCAGGTAATAATATGTTATAAAGTAGTATAATTTTAACACAATAAAATTATCTTAAGACATGTACTATTACCGTAACAAAATTTAAGTAATAATTGTTCATATTGTTTGGATCTAAGGGGATTAATTAAACAGAATGTAAGGCGTGGTAATGTAATTTAATTGTAGTATGTAATGTTTAATAGTAACAAACTTCAGAAATATGCAGATCGATCCCAAACATGATAAAGAATAGGATTTTTTTATACATGTATTCAAAAGCTTGTTGGAGGTAAACTCCTAAATTGCACAGTTCCTTACTATGTTAAATATTTTGTTAAATGATTGGCACTTAGGAATTGCAACGTCTATCTGATGGTCTGTTACACCTCAAATCTCGAGAACTTTAAGAGGCATGGATTTGATATTTTGCTTGATATTATGGCTAACAAATTTAACCTTTAAATTTGTTTTCAAACTAGGTATCCTTCAACGCGATTTTTTACCTAACTTTTTGTAATAGTTGAGTGTCAGCGTTCAACTTCTTTTTGACATTTAAGGGATAAGTCTATACTTTTTATAATCATAAGACGGGACTTAGACTTCATGTCCGTCTCACAACCTCAATACTATCAGGCCTAGGATTATCAAACTTTGTAAGCTGATACTTCTAGGGTAGACAGTGTGTCGCACACTAAAAAGTAGTCCGCTCTGACCTTTAATAAAGATGCTGTAGCCAAATATGGAAAAATACTGTCCAGCTCATAACTAGAGAACTATTAGACCTATCAAACTTGGCAAAAGTATACATTTTAGGTAGCGGGTGTGCCACAATCTATTTCGAGGTCTCTGTGTCCTTTAACTTAAGTGATTTTTTTTAAGTCTGTTCAAGTTTGAATTTCATAATTGACTTAAGAAAAATTTTAAAATATAGGTGTAAAAAATGTTATAATACAATGTATAGTAAAACATTATTTTTTCATCATAAACTTTAAATCAATCAGTAAGAAAATTAATGTTAATGTTATGAGAAAGATTCAGTTTGTCCAATGGGCATAATTATCAAGCACTGGTCAAGAAGAATTTTGATAACAGAAATTTGCATGTCAAATTAGAGAGAAATTAATTTCTTCTCACCAACACTATTGTTGGTTAATTGTCAATTTGTCAATTTTCACTTTTGTCGATGACTTGTTTTTCGGTGAGATGTCTGGCACTGGACTAGTCCAGATAAAGATCTTTCAATAGATGTAATGTAATTAAACAAATTGATGTTTTAAAGTACAGTGTATGGGAGTGTATGATTCAAACTCAATTAATATTGTATTATATAATTAAAACTAATTATTTGTTGTAATTAATGCATACACCCTAAGTCTGTTAGAGATGTATGATGACATCAAAGAAGATTACCTAATTTTCTTGCACTCTAACCAATTTATGATTATTTAACAATACCGGGTATTTGAGAGGCATATCATACTGTGGCGTGGCACTTTAATTTCTAAATGTCCAGTGTTTATTAAAAACATTTTGAAAAAAAAATAACTGGCAAAAAGTAACAGTTTACTTGACCTTTCAGGCTTTTAACTACTTTGCAAACTATACTACAGAGAGTAAAGTTTAATTCATGTCATTTGATTTCAGAGAGACAATGATTTGTTAGATTATAATTAATATTTATACTTGGCAATGCACTTTCACACTGTCTGAACTAACAGTACAGTGTATCTACAAAAAAAACCTTTAATTCATAACGATGTCACTTCTTTACAGCTCTATGCAGAAGAAAGTGATGAAAGCTCAGAGGATGAAATATTCCATGTCAGTGATGGGGAAGAAGGTCAGGATGATGGAGATGAAAGTAGAGAAGAAGATTCAGACAATGGTGATAGTGGTTCTGACAGTGAGGACAGTGATCCAGAAGTTTGGGAAGAAGTTTCACCAGAAAGCATTGACAGTGAAATGGGCGTTGATAAAGATGCTACCAAAACAAACATAACTGACTTTCTGACATTTTTTGTTGGAATGCTTATTTATTGGCAGACAGTGCACCATGTTAGTGACAATGGGATGGATTACCTATTTCAAAATATTTTCACCTTTTTCCAAACCATTGGAGTGCAAATTGACAACAGCTACTTCAGAAATCTTTGTATGGCATTTCCACCTAGTCTCTATATGGCTCATAAGTTTTTGAATTTAGATAAGGACAATTTTAAAAGATATGTAGTATGTCCGTCTTGTTTAAAACTGTATGATTTGCATGAGTGTGTGGAGGAAAGGAATGGTGTGCGAGTGGCAAAATTGTGCAGTAATGAAGTAAGGGTGAGAGGCAGGCAAACTGCTCCTTGTAGAGCTCACTTGATGAAAGAAATTGTGTGCAAAGGAAATGTTAGGAAGTTTTATCCATTGAAGGTTTATTGTTACAATAGTATTATTGAAGGGTTAGAAGGCGTAATGAAGCGTCAAGAAATTAAGGAAGTTTGGGAGCATTGGAAAGATTGGGATGACAATGAAGGTGTTTTAAGAGATGTGTATGATGGGAGGGTATGGAACAAATTTAAAACTTTTGAAAACAAATCATTTTTGTCAGACACTCGCGGAATTGGTTTAATGATGAATATTGATTGGTTCCAGCCTTTTAAGAATAGGAATGATTATTCTGTAGGTGTAATTTATTTTGCAATTCTAAATCTTCCAAGGAGCATTAGGTATAAATCAGAAAATATAATTATAGCAGGTCTGATACCAGCTTTCCAAAAAGAGCCGAAACTGAACTCATTTTTAGAACCGATTGTTAAAGAGTTGAATTGTCTGTGGAAGGGTGTTAAACTGGAATCATCGTTATCTAGGATTCATATGACTTTTAGGGCTGCTTTGCTCTGTGTCGCTTGTGACATTCCCGCAGCACGCAAATGTTGTGGGTTTAAATCTCATGCAGCAACTTTAGGCTGTCACAAATGCTTTAAAACTTTTGGTGGGGGGTTTGGGGAGAAAAGGGACTATTCCGGCTTTGACAGACAAAATTGGAAACCAAGAGCAAAAGCATCTCACAATCTCTATGCTAAGAGGGTAAAAAATGCAAAAACCAAAACCGAGGCAGATAATTTAGCTAAGAAATATGGAACTTATTATAGTGTTTTAATTGAGCTCGAATACTTTGATGCAATTACTTTTTGTGTTATAGATCCCATGCACAATCTCTTTTTGGGAACTGCAAAAACTGTTTTTAAATTATGGGTGGAAAGAGAAATTTTAAGTCCAAAACAATTAGAAAAGGTTGAAAGTAGGTTAGAAGATGTCAATTCTGCAACCGACATAGGTAGGATTCCAAATCATATCTCTGGCAATTATGGGGTTTTTTCAGCGGCGGAATGGAAAAACTGGACTGTGTCATTTTCATTGTATGCTTTATGTGGAATATTACCACAGGAAGATTACAGGTGCTGGGAAAAGTTTGTGTTAGCTTGTAGGATCTTATGCAAACCATTTATTTCAGTAGAAGATGTTAGTAAAGTGGACTCGTTGCTACTAAATTTTTGCAAGTCCTTTGAAAGATTATATGGTTTGAGTAGCATAACTTGCAATATGCATTTGCATTGCCATCTCAAGGAATGTTTACTAGACTATGGTCCGATACATGTTTTTTGGTGCTTTTCATTTGAAAGGTTTAATGGGGCATTTGGAAAGCTGCACACAAACAATAAGAGCATTGAAATTCAGTTCATGCGGAAAATCATGACTTCCAAGTTTTGTGAAACTTTGAAAGAAACACTGGCCTCCTCAAATCTGTTTGAATTATTAGGTGGTTTCTTTGAAATGGATAAGGCTAAATCTTTAGTAAACAATGCAATGGGAGATATAGTCAAAGTTTTGAAAATGGCATGTGCAGAGAGTGTAAACTTTTTAGATTTAGTCAGTAAATCCTATGTCTCCTTACCAAAAGTTTACAAATTTGCCATGTTGAATGATGAAGATCGTGTTCTTTTACTGGCTTCATATCGTAAAATGTATCCATCTCTCATTTTTGATGTGTGTAATCTTGGGGAAGTAATCAAAAAGTACAATTTTGTAACAATTTTTGGGGAAAAATTTGGGTCAAAATCTGATTGTCGTAAGTTACGATCTGCCAATGTTATGGCAAGCAAACTCTTTGATGATGATTTTTGTGAACCTGACTTTGATATGCGGCCATGTAGAGTGGATTTCTATTTTGAACATACTCTCTCAGTTGAAAATAGAGATGTAACAAATGTCTTTGCCAAGGTTACCTGGTATAAAGAATACTCTGAGAGATTTAAGTATGGAAATGCCCTAGAGATGTGGTTTTCAAACAAATTCGAAAACAGTAGTGCATCCTGTTTTATTCCGGTAGAGAGAATTAAGTGCAGGTTCTCCAGGGGAATTACAGGTTACAGCAAGGACCTCATGTGTTTGTGTCCTCTACCTCGAAAGATAGTTAATGACAATTAGTACATTTAATGTATGAATTTGAAAATGACGGACTACTTTTTTAAGAGTTAGATCGGGAGCATGTATATGTAAAGATTTTACTGTTGACTGTTTAAAAGGATTCAATATTATTTGTATTTTATGTCCTTTTTCTTGATCTTGGCCCCTTGTAGGGTCACTGTACAATGTTGCCATTGGACAGAATGTTCAAGAAAATATATTTTTGTACATCACAAATTGCTGGTACTTGAGTAAATCAATGAATATATATTTCATTGTGATCATGATTAAAATCACTTGCAACACAATCCATAGCTTTTTTAATGTGGAGAAACAAAAGATTTATTTATTTATTTATTTCACTTTCTTGTCCTTGCCTCCCTGTTGAGGCACTGCTCCAATCATTTTTGAAATGGAGCAGAATGTTCAAGAAAGTGATTTTTTTTGTGTGTGATTTATCAAATGATTATATTTATTTCCAATGGCATTTCATTTAAATGTTGGTACTTGAGAAAATTACTAATATAATGTAAATTTCATTGTGACCATGATTGAAATGCAGCATAATCCATAGCTTGTCAAATATGGAGAAATGATAGTTATTATTTATGTATTATTTATTTATTTATTTATTTCACTTTCTTGTCCTTGCCTCCCTGTTGAGGCACTGCTCCAATCATTTTTAAAATGGAGCAGAATGTTCAAGAAAGTGATTTTTTTGTGTGTGGTTTATCAAATGATAATATTCATTTCTAATGGTTTATCATTTAGTGAAACATTGGTTGTCAATGAACATATATGTTGCTGAACTTGTATCAATAAAATAACATAGATATAAATGAGAGTGCGAGAGAGGGGGAGAGAGAGAGCGCGAGATTTATACATGTAATATGTATTTGAATATTTAATAAACATGAATAGAATCTTTAATCAAAAGGTGTTTTCTTATATTAATTTTTTAAAAGCAGATTTACTCTAGAGTATAATCTAATGGGCACACTTATTAGAAAATCTTGTGATTTATTTACATTGAAAAGTTGCAGTGCTGGACAGCAATAATCTCAGTTTTCTAACTTAAAAGAGAAATGAATGTCTCTGCTGGTGGACAGTCTGTCCCCAAGGTTACTTGTCATGAGTATTCAGAATAACAAAAATATGCTGGCAGGACGGTTACCCAGTATAAAAAGGTATAAGTCTTGGATCAATAAAGGAAACTTACAAGGATGAAATTACACCATTCACTTGATGGAATTACTTCTTAAGAGTTATACATGTAACAAAGCATTCAATCTATCTATTTAAGAACACTGGGGGAAAAATAATTCAAAATATCTATATATATATATATATCTTCAGCGTACATGTATCAGGTATATTAGGCAAATGATTTCTACAAATCTATGAAAGTAGTATGATTTATCCGTAAGCTAGATGAATGGATTTATTATTGTATATTTTATTGAAGATATAATTCATAAAATTTTCTGTTAATAAAATCTTTTAAAAAATTAAAAACACCACATGTGCCACCAGCAGATGGGGGCTGATTAAAAGCCATGCAATGGTCAGAATCCCAAGTGCCCGTATACATGCATCTAAGTGCAGAGGTACAAAAGTGTTTAAACATAAACTTCTGATATCGAGGATTTATTAAATTTCTTGACACAAAAAATATGTTCATTATGTTTTGAAATCTCATTTTTTTTTAAATCTAATTTTATGAAATGAGAAATAGGTATGACACCTAGTGTAGTATATTATTTTAATAATAACAGATTAATAATGATCAAACTGATCGATTTCAATCTTAGGTGATCAAATTGATTTTCACTGAACAGAAATGTAATCGATGGTTAACCTGTGATTTGGCTGACAGGTGTTGTTTACATGTCTCCGGCCCCGGGGTAGAACTGGGTACAACTTGTATATTCCATGTGAATTGTAGTGGTCAGCGTAACAATGGGCACTAATCACCTATTGTTCTGCGTCTGCGGCCACCGGTCTGAACAATAAACAAACTACCTACACTGCACTTGCTACTTTGAGAAGAAATTATCTTTACTAGTTTATGAAGAAGAATTATCCTGTAATTTTAAATTCGAGAAATAAAATTGATAGAAAAAATATTTAGCAAAACAGGACTGTGCAATACTAAAAGTAAAAAAAAAGTTTCAAGTTATGAACAGTTTGCAGATTTAATAATTATTTTAATTTATCTATCCAAGCGCATGCAGTCATTTATTTCATTTTACGCAAATTTCTTGATAAAAATCTACTCGGGGGGGGGGGGGGTGCTGTTAACGGCGAAATGTTGATGCTTTAATTTTATGTTTTGTAAAGCATACATGTATGTTATAGCGAGCTCAGGCGAGGCGTTGCGCCATATACGTATATAACAAATTAGAAAATAATTTTGTACGGAGACTATAATTTGTTTTTCATTCCATTTTCTCCTTGTCTGGGGCCCTTGTATAAACAAAATACAGGTTGGGCGCTAGCAAGATAATCTTACGCTGAAAATTTAAAAACATATAGTTATTAATTTTTAAAAATTATAAACAATTCAATATTTTGGTCTTTTGTAAAACGGGCCCCAGCTGGTCTTTGTCAACGAATCAATTTTATCGGAGATTGAAAAAATAATCTCATGATGAATGAAGTTATTTGTTATACACACACTAAAGACGGCAAAAGATTGTTTTAAATTCTCTATTTATAAAAAATGCAAACATACACTAAACGAAATTTATAATATGAACTTTCTTCCACGTTTAAGGTCTAAATGATATTAATTCACTATCGCAGTTCAATACTAGATATTTCCATGAAATTTAAAGGCACTATACACACAGTACAAAATATTTAATTTACTCAGTATGCACCGATTTAAAGAGAAAAAAAAAAATAAAACAAACGTACACGACAGTTAATTAAATTTTGGTACAAGTATCGTATCATTATATTTCATTATTTGTAGAATGTTTATCATGCATTTGCTCGTTATTTATTAAAGAAATATATTTAATTATTCTAAATTATGGAATAATTATTTCATTTTATTTTCATGTTTTCTTTATTTTATAAAGATTTTTTAGACTCTTAATGTTTAATTACATAAAAAATTAAAAAAAAAATAAATATATAACTTCATTTTTAAATATAAAAATAAACAAAACTTAATGGAAGCTTAATGGTTACTTAATGGTAACTTAATGGTAACGTAAAGGCTGCTTAAAGGTTGCTTAATGGTGGCTTAATGGTGACTTAATGGTTACTTAATGAAGTTTGGACATTAAGCACCTGTAAGTTTGGCTTAATGGTAGCTTAATGGTAGCTTAATGGTGTTAATTCCATTAAGCAACTATAAGCCACCATTAAGCCACCATTAAGCGATTGCTTAAAGGTGGTGTTTCGTCCTGTGATATTGATCATAATTTAAACATTTCAATATTATAATTTTTATATACATGCTCTTTTATAAAACTCATCAAAATCACACACATACAATAGGAACGTACCGTAAATTTACATATTTTTTTTTTTATTTATTTCAAAAGCTTCAGTCATTTACTTGGCAAAAAAGACAAAATAATATAATAATAGTTTCTGATTAACAATATTTATGAGGTTTTTGGAGACCAGGTATTCCAACAATCTATTGGAATTCCCATTGGTACCAATTGCTTTCCGTTCTTAACAGACACATTTTTATATTCATATGAAGCAGAATTTGTGCAAAATCTTATGCAAGAAAAGAAAACACATTCTGTGACCTTCAACTCGACATTAAGATATAACTACAACGTATTGTCAATTAACAATGGTAATTTTAATTTCTACATCGATACGATATATCCTGGTGAGCTTGAGATATACCACAGAGTCTGACACATCAGTTTCATACTTGGATACTTTACTTGAAAAGACAATAATGGTAACCTAACAACCAAACTATATGATAAAGGTGATGAATTTAACTTTTCTATCGTCAACTTTCCTTACTTATGCAGCAATATACCTTTATTACCTGCATACACAGTGTATATATCTCAGTTGATTTGATACGCAAGTGCATGCTCTACGTATGAACAATTTCTAAAACGAGGTAATTATTGACGAGCAAGTTGATGACACAAGAATATCAGCAGTCTCGTATAAAGTCATCACATTGTAAGTTCTATGGTAAATACAATTTATCATTGAGTCAAATACTGGATGACGTTTTTCATACTAATGGTTAGTCGATTATTTATATGCGGAATTGACGACGGATTTTCCCGCTATTTCCCAGTCATTACAAGGAGCACACGGCGGGTGTGACCGGTTGGCAGGGGATGCTCAGTCCTCCATGGCACCTGATCCCACCTCTGATTTTCGGAGGTCCGTATTTGCTCTGCCCTTATTTGTATTGTTTTATGGACTTATTGAATACTGTTTGTTATCTCCATAGCCTTCTTCATACAATTAAACTTTCTTATTACTAGTATATATTTGGCTATATGTGAATTCTGTTTAAATCTACTAAAGGCTAAATCTCCTACACGTCACGTGACCTACCTTTTTGCCTTCCACCCACACTATGGGCCTGCTGACATGATATTTTCCAGTCCTTCCCTCAGGCTCTGGCAGATTAACCTGTTTTAACACTCCGGTTTCCCTCATTTTATAAAGCTCATAGATATTAAGTAATGTAAAGAGGATTCCTAGTCCTAACATTAAAGTCACCAGGGAGAAATAGCGACCAGGTTTCTTCATCTTAGTTTTGGGTTCTCCAAATGTAGGTGAGAGAGCGCTGTCCTTCAATATATGCAGGTTAAAATTACCTGGATTTTAAATAAAATTAAACAAATGTCAGCTTTTAAAAAAATTAGCTTAACCTTTAATTTAAAAAAAAAGATTGATTATTTTAAAGACGTTTGGCAGTTAAGTTGAAGTGAAAATGATTATAATAAATATATATGTAATATCATTAAAAAACAGATGTTTGTCACAAATAAATCTAGTCACACATACAATGTATGAACAATATATTCCTTTGTACATAATTAAGCACTAAAAGTAAATTACATCATTAATTCATTAGCATGTTTATATATTACCTTGCATTAAATCCAACAATACCGTTTGTTATCTCAATATGTTTTATCCAACAATATAAATGCTTCATTCTTAATTATATTAACCTGATTTTTAAATTTATCGAAATTTTAATAAAATATATCTACCTACATTTTTTATTTTTTACTTTTGATATTTTTAATATATTTCAATGTGAAATGAATATTGTATGATAAAATTAGATTATTTTTCTGTAAGCCATTTTGGACAGCTATTATGTTTTACATGAGATTAATTTACTTTACAGAAGATTTAAACAATTAATATCCCCACTTTAAGTAATTTTAACGCTCTCTCTTTCTCTCTCTCTCTCTCTCTCTCTCTCTCTCTTGCATGGATAGAAAAACACCCTTTTAACTAAATTTTAAAATAATCATGCAGATGTGAACAAAGCTTGCAGAATGCCTATTGCTTCAGATATTTAAAAAAATATATTTACAATTTGTGATTAATTAGATGTTTAATAAAGTTATTGTCACTCACTTTTGTGTAAGCGGGGAAACATTAAATCTTAGTTGTCTTTAAGTCTGTCAACCTGTACGTCTGTCACAAAAATTTTAATCTTGGTCATAACTCTTGAATAATAAGGGATAGGGTTTTCACATTTCTTATGTACATTACCTGAAACAAGACTTTTCTAAATAATTAATATCTTTTAACCCTCAGACTTTAGCTTTGAGGTTTGATCTACTTTTCCGAAATATTTTCATTACAAAGAGAAAAGGTAGGACTTCCATATATATTACCCATGACAAGACCTTTATAAAAAAACTAATCATTTTCTTGCTTATTAGATAAAATAGTGTATGAACTGTTTTGGGCTATATAACACCTTATCAATTTCCACAAAAGATTGTAAGATTGGTTTATATTTTTTTTTGTGATACGTGCGTGTAAATTTGTGTGTGAGTGAGAGAGTGTGGGGGGTATGAGAGAGAGCAACTTTATATTTTCATATTGAATTGCGTTTAAATAAATTTTATACAGGAAATGACGTGATCCATCAATTGACAAAGAATGAAGACTCTCACCTCTACGTTTCCAGAACTACTCAGAATGGCACGAAACTGTATCAGTTGTACTATCAATTTAATGTTTCAAGTGAAACTGAGAAGTTTAAAATATTTTTGTCGGGGGATTCCACGGGGACATTAGGTAAGTTGCAGAGAGGCCTTGCACACACACACACAAAGAGAGAGAAAGAGAGAGAGAGAGAGAGAGAGAGAGAGAGAGAGAGATTACATATGTATTTACTGAGTTCGACACTAGCGTTCCGTCGGACCCGGGAGCCTAGCTGCCTGCCTGAGTCTGCAGGGCGATGGCAGACAATTTGGTCCAGTGATCTAATAAAAGGTTCTTTCTCGAGAACTGAGTAAATTAATATTTTGTTATACCTTTCATTTTATTTTTTGATATAGAGGTTTGTTTTGTCTTCCGTGATGTAACATGAGGTTTGTCACTGTTGAACACTTTCGACTGAAAATGAGATTAAGCTAGGCTAAATTTGTGACATGAGCGGTAAAACATTTCTCGGACTGGTCCAAAATCTAAGTAGCGGTCAAACATCAATTTTTTTTATTGTCTACCTTGCAAAAGATTAAAAATGATAGAATTTTGTGATTAAGATTTGCATAAGAACATATTTTTAAAGTATAACAACATCACATAGATAAGGATGTTTTAATTTTTGATACACATGCGCAACATTGTTAATGCTGAAAGAGGGAGGCGGTGCCTAATTTATAGTTTAAAGTTTACTGTAACATCACATTAAACATTACTTTTATGTATTCCTCATAATACCAGAAAATAAAATATTTTTTTAATCTTTAAACTGCATTTGCATAATAAACAACAATTAATTTATCAATTTATATAAAAAGGTTGCTAGTTAAATCCCATATAGCTGGTTATAAACAGATCACTAATCTCAATGAACTTGTCAATCATGGCGTCATATTGGAAACAACGACGTATTTTATGTTCTGTGAGATGCAGATTGAGGAATTTTCTAACAAAGATAAATGCGTTTTATTAAAAAAAGAATGTTATTTACAGGTGTCATATAGGTTTTTAATACCAATGTATATCCTTGGTTCCGTGCGTTTATTCGTTAACTATTAATGAAGTTAAATAATTTATTTGGGTTTTAATGTTCAGGTAAAGTATTTTTTATATCGATGTGCCTCATTAAATCTTTCTTTCGCAAGGGCGTACTATAAATAAACCATTTTTGGAATATAAATAAAAGGTATGTTCCTTAACTTGGACGGTGCTGCTGCTTTCTTTAAATCGAAAGGGTGACTTTATTAATACACCAAATATCTGGTAAAAGTCAAACAGATTACATGGAATTTTAACAATTAAAACGCAAATTCTTTTTTAATAAAGTAGAAGCACTTTCCAGAAAGTACGAAATATACAGAAGCAATCAAGAGCTTGAATTCTTAATTTCAAATAAGGTCTGCCCTTGTGATATTGAAATTTGTTAATGACCTACATTGAGTACATGTACTATGCATTCATCAAGTGACTGTCCATTAATGTGAACAACTTCATACTATACGGTGTAGGTTATATCATACTTTTTCCGTAAGTATTTAAGTTCTGTGATAATAAAACAGTTTGCAATATTCAATTTTAAAAACAATACCCGTTTTTGCATTTCTATTTTCCCTTGATTTCTCATAGTATGCCTGAACAGTGCTGCGTAGAATTATTGACAAAAATAAAATATCTTAAATTCCTACATACATCTGTTTATCTGTATCAACAATTTTAAAAAAAAGTAGAGATTTAAAACAGAGATCGGTTAAAAAAAAGAAGTTTGAAATAACTGACTTTTTCATACCAATTGAGAGGTCTTCTTTACACAATGAATTGCCTATGGATTTTCCCCTTCTTTTCAAACATGAAAAGAAGCAGACAGTGCGTGTGACCGTTCGGCTAAAGATTCAAACTCCTCCATGGCACATTATCCAACCTCTGATGTTTTGTAGCTAGATGTATTTGTTATGCTCATCGTTTTCAATGTTCAATGTATTTTTCAGTTCGAATTCTTTTCGTTATTTCCATACATAAAAAAAAATAAAAAGTTTACAATTGGAATGAAACACAACAGCTAGTTTACAACATAATATTATGAAAAATCAGTATAGCCACATTGAATTTACAAAATAATGACTTTACGAGAAAGAATCTAATTCGAGTGCGCATGACTTTTTGCATCATTTTAATTTCATGCAGTTATATGTGTACACTTTAGTACACTTTTGCCAATATTTTTATCTTAATTCAAATTAACATTATCTGTAACCCCTACTGGTGTGAAGTTGTGATTTTACCACAATAATTAGGTAGAAAACGCTTAAATGGCTCTAAAGACGTCACTATTTTCGCATTTGGTAAGCATCGCATGACGCTGAAAAATGACACATGCCTCGCTTGTTTGTTCAGGGCGTCCATGGATACAATAATACAAATTGATGACAAAACATTCACAGGAATATACCATCAATCTAAGCATTGTTATTTTTACCGAAAAAAGTCATATGCACCTGTAATGCATCTGCAATGACAATTTTAGATGTATTGGGCTTTCAAGAATAAACTTAAGTGATTTATTCATAGACCAACGTGGATGAAACACTTGTTTGAAATTTCAAAATTAAGTGACCTTTTACAATAACTTTCAACTACATGAATGAGATAGAAATCCCTCGAACAGAAAAACAAAAAATATGGAAGAAATGCGATAATTTGTCTCTTTTCCAGTGGATTTTCATGGGGTCCAATAGTATAACCGAGATTGCCCCCTAAGAAATCGGGATGATAAAAATTATATTGTTTAATCTCAAAAAATTTAATATAACAGTAAAAACCAACTATTAAAAACTAATGAAAATCTCTAGAGCCAAAATGATTAGACTTGACCTCGTTAAAACGAGTTGTTGAAAAATATTTTACATGATCAGATTATCCGTCAGTTGCCTCCTGCTCAAGGATGGGATAATTGAATAAAGTAATTGTAATTGAGTGTAATTAATTACATTTATCAAAGTAATTGGAAGTAATCTGTATTTGAGCTAGCCTTCAATTACAAGTAATTGAATGTATTTAAATACATTCCAAAAAGGTGTCTTATACTGATACATATTGTTTATACTGGTAGGTATATATTATTATTCCCATGTTTTATAAATCTCAGTTCTCCTTATTTCCGATTGCAAATAACAATGATCGTTTAGATAGTTAATACGTTTTACAGCAATTAGAGTAAAATATCCCCTGTAAGATTTATCTGTATTCTATTTAAAGAAAATATTGAATGGAATTGTGATAGATACTATTTATTTCCTTCAAAAATATGGATTTGAGAAAGCAACAAAAAAGATCTTGCCATACACCATACTGGTGAAGCATGGGTTTAATTTGTGTTTGTAAAATAATTAATTTTCTCATAATTTTAATTGGTTAATACAATGAGTCACAATCATAATAAGGTAAAGGTCAAATTTTGGCCAGGTGTGAACCCTTTCATACCCAAGAATAAAAAACACTGAGTGCGATAGAAAAAGTCTCTATTTTTGTTTTATAAAAATAAAATTGGAAGTATTTGAAATGTATTCAATTACATTTGTCAAAGTAATTGAAAGTTATGAAATATATTTGAAAAAATCAATGTTATTGTAATTGCAAGTAATTGACAAAATTATAAATCTATTTGAAAGTAATTAATTACATTTCAAAGTAATTGACCTCAAGCCTGTTGCTGCCGTTAAAAATCTGATTGTTTTTAGAATATGCTTTTTTACAGTGGAATAAGTAATATGGAGACGTAAAAGTGATGGCGGGATATTATGATATTGTTCAGTGTTTTCAATCCCGTTTTGTACGCTTGGGTTTATTACTACCCGTCTCATTTCAGTGTTTAGATTCTTTAAAGTTTGCATGTTTTGAAAAATTGCTTTAACCTGGACATCTCTTATACTTCAAAGATAAAAAAAACCATGTGCCTTTTTGTAAAGGACACGCTGTAAAACTTAATTAACGTTACTGTACAATTTTAACACAAAAACCGGATAAAACTTGTATACATGTTGCATCTTATTGTTCACACTTCTAGTGAATTTATTTTAAACATGGATTTTGCCTAACTAAAAGACAAAATTGGCTAAGGTAAGCTCTGTTATCTCAATGGATTAAGATATACATTGTACATATATTTGACTGTGGAGGTTCAGAATTCACTCAAACTTTTTCATGGACAGAGGATTGTGTATTTTTAATTTAATGTCATTTGGTGAAGTTCAACGTGACACTTGGGATATTTTTGGGACTAGGGAGTGGGCTTATTATGGTTTGCAGGTTTTTTTAAATTCATATTCAAAACCGTTAAGTTAAGATACATTTATACATGTATATGCTTTGTATTGTTTCTATTCATGGGACTTTAACCATCAGAACAATGACAATAACCTTAAGAAGAAATAATTAAGTAACGTAACTGGCAAACTGTTAAGATTAAGATACATGTTTACATGTACATGTTTTGTATTGTTTCTATTCATGGTACTTTTAACCATCAGAATCATGGCAATAATCTACAGAAGATTTAAAAAAGTAACTGGGAAACTTTATGTATCTTTAATTTTTCAGGTGACAGTATGGGCAACACAGCGTTAACAAGAGAGAATCAGTTAGGAATGTACTTTAGTACCCCAGACAACGATAACGACAATTGGATGGACAACAACTGTGCTGCTTTCCATAACGGAGGAGGATGGTGGTTCAACAGCTGCCACCAAGCTTTCCTTAATGGCCCCTGGACTCCAGTAGAATGGAAACACCCCTGGAACCCTCCGTTTGAGTATGGAACATCTGTTTATGGTACTCTGATGATGGTCAGACGTGGCTAGGTAAATATATTTTATTTTAGTAAGGGACATCCTTACAAACAAAGATACATTGCAGGTTCCAGTAAATGTTCAACCAAGCCTCTTTCATTAGTTCTCACTAAAACATTGACAGTAGTGAAGGAAAAACTTCAAGAGTACTGTACAACTATATATTCAAGAAGTGGTGTAAATCAGATGTGGATACTTATAAATTCTAAAGAATTTTTAGACAATGTGAAATCACAAGACTTTTCAAAAATCAACAGCATAAAAACTTACGACTTTTCAACTTTATACACAACAATTCCGCACGACAAATTAAAATCCAGGCTTTTTGATATCATTGACAGCTGCTTCTTCAACAAAAATGGAACTCGTAAGTTTTATTACCTCGTCACAAGACTTTTCAAAAATCAACAGCATAAAAACTTACGACTTTTCAACTTTATACACAACAATTCCGCACGACAAATTAAAATCCAGGCTTTTTGATATCATTGACAGCTGCTTCTTCAACAAAAATGGAACTCGTAAGTTTTATTACCTCGTCATTGGTCATTTGAAAAATTATTTTGTTCAAACAGATTCTGATTGCACACATAAGTACTCTGAAGTTGACATCAAGAAGATGCTTGAGTTTCTGATTGACAATATCTATGTGGTTTTTGGAGACCAGGTATTCCAACAATCTATTGGAATTCCCATGGGTACAAATTGCGCTCCGTTATTAGCAGACTTATTTTTATATTCATATGAAGCAGAATTTATGCAAAATCTTTTGCGTGAAAAGAAAAAAAAACACTTGCTGTGGCCTTCAACTCGACATTTAGATAAATCGACGACGTATTGTCAATTAATAATGATAATTTCCATTCCTACGTCGACATGATATATCCTGGTGAGCTTGAGATAAAAAATACCACAGAGTCCGACACTTCTGCTTCATACTTGGATATTTTACTTGAAAAAGACACAAATGGTAATCTAACAACCAAGCTATATGATAAACGTGATGACTTTAACTTTTCTATCGTCAACTTCCCTTACTTATGCAGCAATATACCTTCATCACCTGCATACGGAGTATTTATATCTCAGTTGATTCGATACGCAAGAGCATGCTCTACGTATGAACAATTTCTAAAACGAGGTAAATTATTGACAAGCAAGTTGATGAAACAAGAATATCAACAGTCTCGTTTAAAGTCATCATTTCGTAAATTCTATGGTCGATACAATGACCTTGTCAGCAAATACAATTTATCATTGAATTAAATGCAGACTGACGTTTTTCATACCAATTGTTAGTCCATTATTTATACAGTGAATTGACCACGGATATTTTCCGTCATTTGCTGATTATGACAACGAGCACACGGCGGGTGTGACCGGCCGGCAGGGGATGCTCACTCCTCCATGGCACCTGATCCCACCTCTGATGTTTCGGAGGTCCGTGTTTTTTCTGCTCTTAATTTGTATATTTGTTTAATGGACGTTGAGATTGAATACTGTTCGTTATTTCCATATTCTTCCTGTAAGAGAACTCTGATAATGGCCAGACGTGGCTAGGTTAATATCCTCTATTCAAGTGAGTGATATCTGTTAAAAATATATGCTGCATGTTTTACTTTGGAAATTTTTTTAATGTTTGTAATTAATTATTTCTGTGATAGAAAAATAGAACATTTATAAACTTCTCTTGATCATATTTGCGAGAGAAAAAGTTTTAAAAAGTTTTTATTGAAGCAAAATTACATTATTGTTGTCCTGTACATTTTAAAACTTTACTTACCGGGTTTGTCTAATTGATCATAACGATTTTAATTACGTACAAAAAATGATCAATTAGTGAATAATAACATTTGGTGTCTTTAAAATATTTTGCCATGATTTTTAGATATTGTAATTTTTTTAATTGTTTACATGTATATACGAGACAATATATTTGATACCTATGTTTGAGTTTTTATAAATAGTTTGTATATACACTGTAATATTAAATTATTGAACATTTCTTAATTGATCGTGATACCTTTTAGTTTTAAGGAATATAAATTTAATCTTATTCTCAAAATACTAGTTCAATTGAATATAAGTTTAATCTTATTCTCAAAATACTAGTTCAATTTTCGTACCTTGTGTAAAAAAAAAAGGCTTATTGTTTCATTTATGCAGATTTCTTGTCTATTTTCATTGAAAATTGGAGATAACAAACAACAATCAAGATCAACAGTGCTTTGAATCAATAGTGAAGGAAACGTGGACATAGACCTCTAAGAACAGAAGAGCTGTACACTTTTTTTAACAGATTTGAAAAGGAAATTGGTTTTATTATTTAGTTTCGTATAAAACCTTAGACCTACGTTTAGGTCTAATTTCTTAAACACTAAAAATATTAATTTTACGATCATTTAAGTAGTTTGTTGCTGCCTATGTACTGGGACTGGCTGCACTGGGGTAGAACATGCCGTGATACAGAATCTCAGGATGCCTCTCTGGTGACAAGCCTGTTGAGGCTTGACTGTCTATTCTCTTGAACTTGTGATAAGACCTGAATAAGGCACACAGGTTCGGGGAATAGGCAGTGAGGGATCACCAATATTAGCTTATACGTAAGACCTGTATAAGGCAATAGGCTGTTGGAGAGAGAGGCGGCATACCACAGAAGTGGGGGAAGTACCGAGATGCAGCAGTTCATTTAGAGTGGCAGGACCAGAGAAATTTGGTTGCAGGAGACACCCGTCGACCACAGTTTGGTCAACAAAAACCTGAGTTAACAGGTTAACGAACCTAGTGCAACGCCTCGGTGATACATATCATATCACCAAACACCACGCTCGTTGCACGTTACAGATTCTCTAGTCTCTGTTTTTATTAACATGTTCTAATACTGTATGATATAAGTCTATTAATGTATTCGTCAAAAATTAACAAAAAATGTACGCATCTATCAAATGATGTTAAAAAAGTAAATTTTAAATATTCCAATTTTGAAATGTTCTATTATTGCAGATGCTTAAGAGTAATGTATTAAAATATTTCGTTAGAAGATAACAATTTCTAAAGACAGAACGACTTTGTTAAAACAAAGTGACGTTCAAGAGGACGAAAAGGAGCAGGAAGTAGCGATACAGTTTGCTTGTATTCGGGAAACCTCTTGAACAAACTCTGAAAATGCTATGGAATCTAGTTGATAAAAAAGCCCGTGCATTTGTATATACAGGGGAAAATAGTTTTTAATTGGTAGAGGCTTTTAATGGAAAATGGCCGGTCCGCCAAGATATAAATAATTGTTAAATAACTTCATGAAACGTTATGTAGGCTTCGGTTTTGCAAAACTCTTGTAAGCAGATTTATGAGTTAAAGAAATTTAAAAGGCAGAGCAGATTTGAGAATTTTTTTAACATTGGTTTTCGACGAAACATTGTTGTGAAGGGTACTAATTATACCTAATACTTCATTTGATTTGCTTTAAAAATACCATAAAAATACATAAGGGTGTATATCATACTTGAACATGACTTTTTGAAAAAGTGAGAAAAAAAATCATTTTTTGATTTTAGAGAAATAGTTAACGGGGTCATTATTATGTTAAGAAATCAATCCGTGATTCCTGTACGTATAAAAAGCCTATTATTACATATTTTTGATAAAAATATGAATTGTATTTAAAACACGCTCACAGTGTCTGGCAATAATTCAAAGCAATTCTGAGAATAGAAAAGAATTTACCAAAAGGTTTTTTTCAAAGAACTGACAAATAATTAGTCAATAAAGATTGCATTGAAGTCTTTGGAAAAAATATAAAATTTCAAAATAAAAACAAGATTTAGTGAAATATATCAGCGATGGCTCCGTATTGTAACTTATAGCAATGGCAAAACATTCTCAAATGCACATATCTTTGTCAGTAAAAGGTAAGGAAATAATCAAAGGTCAAAGTTGTTGGTATTTGAAGGCAGGTCTTGTCACATTGGTTACATTATTATGTGGTGTATGAAAGCCTAACATCGTTCAAAAGTTACGACCAAACTTAATTTTATAAACTTCAAAGTCAGGTTCAATGGGTTCATTGTTTATATCCTGTGGAAGGTCTTGTCACAAGGATTAAATGTACATGAACATATGTAAAGAATGAAAGCCTTAACTACAACTGTTCAAAAGATATTGCCTAAGTTGGTTAAAATTTAGCAAAATCTGGTTAGACTCGACGTTCAAGGTCAGATGGCAAATTTAATGTTACCGAAAAAAAAAATTGTCACAAGGAGGACACATCTAAAATATCAAAGCCATAGTCACAGCCAATCAAAAGTTATAATTTTGGGTCATCTTTTGCAGACAATCAGACAGACAGCTACACAGACAGATATTTTCAACATTTCAAACAAATAAATATCCGTATTAGATTTTTTTTTAAAGAAATGTAAAAATAGGCCATGTAACTCTTTTTTGTATTAGAAAATCTGCACTGAAATAGCAGTTTTTGTTTAAGTGATATTCTTTTGATAAGGATGATGGACTGTTTTCGTTTTAACACCAGGCGGCACTCTGTCTACATTTGCCAACAAACCACATGTACATCAACTTATTCCTCTTATTCAGACTCTGAAATTCTCGGTCTTTGGTTGAGGGGGACCATTCTAGAGCAAAGTCTTCGGTCTAAAAAGTTAAAAATGGAAAGAACATGCAAAATCATTTCAATTCTAGAAGATTGCATCGAGAGAACCAAATACTTCATTTGTTAGTATAATACCCTGTAAAAGACATTAATTAGAGCCCCACATAACTCGGAACGCTGGCAATGGCCCGTGCAATCACAATTTTCGTGCAAGGTTTTGTACAGATGCAGTAGTTTAGATTGATAGATATTTATTTGGTATACGACATATGCGTTATTACGATGCATTTTTGACAATATAAAATATAAAGGTTTGGCACTAAACAAAAGAATTGAAATAAAATATTGGAAATCGATTGACATAATTATGACTCACATTATATTTGTTTACCAAGGATAACCCATGAAAGCAAATGGCTTATTTCCTATGGGGCAGGGTTCTCCATGAGCTGTTTTACTGTGTTGCTCCCTACACAGTAAAATTTTCTCCGACACAGTAACGATTCAAATTTCATGCATGCGACACAGTAATTTTTTTTCCGACACAGTAAGAGTTGTGATAATTAGAAAATCTAAACACACAAATTCTATCAAAATGAAACTTAAATCAATCAATTATGCCGTCTTTCAATTCAAAAAGTTATAACACATAATTACTAGGGCTTCACCTTGAGTAAACAATCAATTATCTCCTACACCTTCGACGGACTTAACGCATGACGGAAAAAAGACAAATAAATTGTTTTCACAATTCAATGTTCCGGTTAATTGGTTGTTGCAATAAGATACATTGTTTTATCTATGAAAAATAATTGAATACCGGTATGTCTTTCATATTGAGCCACGGCTCTATAATTGTGTAAGCACTGTAAGTCAAACATAACATCGTACCGATGTCATATTTAATTGAGGTAAATAAATTGCCAAAAATTTTAAAATTTCAGCATGTTTAAGGAACTGTTTAAAATATTTTACTGTTCTGAAGTTCCTCTTTTTGCAATGCAGTAACTCGATCAAGAAACCTGATAAAGAAACACGGCAAATCTACTTTCAAAAATGTTAAGTACATGTAGTTTCCTTTGCTTTTCAGAACGTTTTTTCCCTTTCATCAGTATGTACGACCGTACCATTTGTGTAACGAATTGGCGATTTTTAAATAAGTGTGTGCTTGTAATCTTTGGAATTATGATGAATTGTGATTCAGTTGCGAAATTGTTCGCGAAAATACCGCAAAATATTAGTACTTCGCGTAAACTCTGCAACACAGTAAAATCTCAAATGATGGGGAACCCTGATGAGGTCCTTAAACTCATACATATAAATTGATGTTAAATAAAATGAACAGAAAAATATAAATACTAAAGCTAAGATGTGGGATCAAGTTGACAAAACACAGATGCATAAAAATGAATTGTAGTATGTATATATACCAAATCTTTACATGGTTGTAATCTAAACAACTAATAATAAGAAAGAACAAAACTAATTAAACACGACTTGACTTTTACACTTGGTAATTCCCCTTTCTGATAAAAATTTCTTGGCATTCCTTTTAAAAGCAAACTTATTTCCGCTATTGAAATGGGTAACATGTTCAAATCTTTGACTCCATTAAAATAAAAAGAATCAGATTGATTATGCTTAGTTGATGGTACAACAAAATCTGCATTTGAGGCTGATCTAGTATCATAGACATACTATAGACGTACTTTTACTTTATATGCCTAATATTTGTATTAAGACTTTACACTGCTCATTTACAGACTGTGATATATGGGAGTTCACTCTTCAAACATTTGTGTTTGAAGATTACTGAGATTACTGAGATAATAAATTATCTAAAATTAAACTTCAAAAGTTTGCTTTCATTACCAGCTGACTGATCTTACCATTTTTGGCGGGAAGACACGCCCACAGTTTCCTTTGTTTATATGTTCTAGATAAGCCAACTTAAGTGTTTTCTTCATTGTCAAAGAGACACATTGGCTACACAACTTACACTTCTACAAAACAAACGACCATGTTATTGGCTACACAGCTTACACTTCTACAAAACAAACTTCCATATTTATACTCCTTTCCTGAAAAAGCATAAATCTTATCTACATTATATTATCTTGATCATGCCTCAAACGTCAAACAATATGAATGTCAGTCACAAGATAAACTTCTGTATGTAATTAAATGTAGTATATGTGTGTCATAGTTTGCTTTGTAAACATAAAATACGGAGGTTGTTTACTTTTTTATATTGAATTAAATGTATGAAATGAAATATAATTCCAAAAGGAAACAATTTCTGAACTATTTAAGGCACTTTAAAAGCGACATTTAAAAAAGGCTCAGCAAAAGGCATCCCATGAGTGAGTGAAAAAATAAAATGGTTAAGGATATCCGATCCTAAGTCAGGAAGGATAACTCCAAAAATTAATATTTAATTTGAAATGCATTAAATTAAAGCTTGAAAATTAATTTTTTTTGTGCAAAAATTCTCATTTTATTCATCTTTTTAAGATTCAAGGATTTTTGGAAGTTTTAGAAAAGGTCTTTTAAAAGTTGAAATTTGTACACTACAAAAGAAAAAAAAATACAGTTTTAGAAAAATGAGATTTTCTTGTAACCAGACTTAGATAACAATGTTTATTTGCATGATATTAAATAAGAAGCGATTTATTGAGTTTAGCATAAACCTTTTACGCTAAGTATTATAGAATATATGATGGAAATAGAAGACAAAAAATACCATATAAGTATAAAAATTATGACAATATCTCTGAATGCTTGGATATCTATCATTTTTTTAGCTGCAGATCTGTATCTATCCGAAAAAAAAATTATTGATAGACCGGAAAGCTACAGTGCCACCTATTGAAAAAACTGTATATTTATTGCGCACAAAAAAGTGCGCTCGGTTTTTGATTATATTTCTTCAAAATTCTTACCTCAATTGCAAAAGAGGGAAGATTAAAAAAAAGTTTCTCTCTCCTCTATCAAGTACATTCGTAGTTGACATCTGAACGAAGTAAATTGGTCCGAATCATCTTTGAAACCAAAATGGCAGTATATACGATAGAAATGTTCGATGTTTACAATATCAGGGTCAGGAGGACTTTTAACAACAATTATGACGAATGTTTTGTTGTGGAAAGAGTCAAAGAATATGTTAGGAACACACGGTTAGTAATATTTTGAGATTACAAATTTAGCAAACGTGGAGAAATAAATGGAAAAGCGAGCACACTTTTTTGTGCGCAATAAATATACAGTTTTTTCAATGGTTGGCACTGTAGCTATCTTGTCTATCAATAAATATTTTTTTCGGATAGCTACAGATCTGCAGCTATCACTTTTTAACCTTAAATATATTTGATGATCAATTTGCAATTAGAAAATGCATTGTTGATAACCCAATTCGCTTTTTCTGAAAAAAAATATTGAAAACTTCACAATTTTCCCTGTATAATATGATTTACTTTAATCCTTAAGAAATACTGTGATAAATTTGCATAACTTTGTGGATTCAGAGACATTTTTATGAGTATTTTTGATTACTTAACTGCTAATTTTATAAACCTGAGGATCGGACTACCTTAAGGAACAGAATCCTCAAGTTTTTAAATTCGACAATGTCCTTTTTCTTGCATCTCTTAAAGTAAAGTTTAGATCCCCTTGCAAAAGGCTTAGGGATAGAGGCAAACTTACCTCATCTCTACAGCTATGTAGAAATGATTTCCTGATACACAACTCAGGGAATACAGAGTATAATAACAAACTTACCTCATCTCTACAGCTATGTACACATGATTTACTGACACACCACTCAGGGAATACAGAGTATAATAACAAACTTACCTCATCTCTACAGTTATGTAGACATGATTTACTGAGACACCACTCAGGGAATACAGAGTATAATAACAAACTTACCTCATCTCTACAGTTATGTACACATGATTTACTGACACACCACTCAGGGAATACAGAGTATAATAACAAACTTACCTCATCTCTACAGCTATGTACACATGATTTACTGAGACACCACTCAGGGAATACAGAGTATAATAACAAACTTACCTCATCTCTACAGCTATGTAGACATGATTTACTGACACACCACTCAGGGAATACAGAGTATAATAACAAACTTACCTCATCTCTACAGCTATGTAGACATGATTTACTTAGACACCACTCAGGGAATACAGAGTATAATAACTAACTTACCTCATCTCTACAGCTGTATAGACATGATTTACTTAGACACCACTCTGGGAATACAGAGTATAATAACAAACTTACCTCATCTCTACAGTTATGTAGACATGATTTACTGAGACACCACTCAGTGAGTACAGAGTATAATAACAAACTTAACTCATCTCTACAGCTATGTAGACATGATCTACTGAGACATCACTCAGGGATAACAGAGTATTATAACAGACTTACCTCATCTCGACAGCTATGTAGACATGATTTACTGAGACACCACTCAGGGAATACAGAAATGTCCTTGTCAGATACTCTCATATTGGCTTCATCCTCTGAACTGTTCAAAGTTAAAGACAAAATAAAAAGCTTTGAAATCATTTGATCCCTACCTGCATAGTATCTAAAATAAAGGCGTGGTGATTTAATTTAGCTGAATAAATTGTGTAGATAAGTAAATTCAAGATATAAGTTAATACTTATTGTATCCCGCTTTCACGAAAGCAAAGGGGACATCAAATCTCATTCGTCTATCCGTCTCCGTCAGTCTGTCTAGCTGTCCGTCCGTCACGAAAGCTTTTACCTTGCCCATAACTTTTGATTTAGTGGAGCTATGACTTTCATATTTCACAAGGGTATTTATTGTGAAAAGACCTTTCTTTGGGTGCCATTGAATTTGACCTTTTGACCTTGACCTTGGAGAAAGCTGGGGACCACAATTCTTTGAATTTGCCTGTTTCAATTAATGTTCCTTTTCTAAAAATATGTATTCAGTAAATTTAATATTTTGGACAATCCTTCAAATTGAAATAACTGCATATATATATGAAATACACATATATGTAATGGTATAAATATATGGTAGAAGTTCACATGCATATATACTAAACTGTATATTTTACAGGATTTAACATACTTAAACCGACATATTGAAAAAAAAAGTTACAGGCGCAGTCCTATATTCCTATATTCTGAACAATTTTGAATCTACACTTCCAGAGGATCCTTTCATTTTAGTACGACTAATCATGACCATGTTGATTTTTACCAGCTTTTTAAAAAAAGATGTTCTACAATGGCTCAACCCTATCCAAATGGTCAAAAAAATAAATCTATAAAATTTGTCAATGTTTGCATATCAACAACGATAATCATGACCTAACAATTTGTGAAAGTAAGATTTCGGAACATTTTTTCTATATACATTCCAGTAAGATTTTTATACCCTATCTTGGCTAATCATACCCATTTAGTCTATGTAATGTACAAATTTGTGCTTTATCTGAGGCGCTTGCTAGTCACTATCACTTGTCATGTCCTTTCTGTACTTGAAAATATTTTTTAAAAGACAATTTCCTATAAATTCTTGGAGTCCAGTCTACCCCCGGAGGTCATGATTTGAACAAACTTAACTACTTGCATATTCATATCATTATTATTCTGTTTTCTCGAAGATTTCAAAGAAAGAAGTCGGTACGATTTTGGCTTTGAAATGCTCTAAAATATGTTTAAAGAGTGATAAGAAATGAGAATCTCACACCTTTTATAGAAGTCATTTTTGACTGGCCGAGTGACTAATACCACGCTCAGTAAGTTGAACATAACTTTGTCGTACATCTCGGCATTTCGTGGGATGTGATCTGAGGACAGGTTAGGAGACATGTTCACCTGGAAATTTAAGACACTAGGTTGACAGTATATGTATAACAAAATTTCTGAAGATTTTGAAAAAAAGTATACATGTATGTATTTATCCTTTATATTGTCTATCATTTCTGTAAAGCGACATACCTCCATCAGGTGAACATTTAAATCCTCATCTACGGCAAAGTCAAATCGAACCAGTTCAAAGAAATTCCTACAAAACAGTATGAGTACTAAAGTATTATCTCATATGTAAATTAAATCTTAAAGAGAATATATAATGTATTCTATAGCTAAAATTTACGAAAGTTCAGTTATAATACATGTATGTACTGACCTTGAAGAAGAGAACATATTTGAAGCGGAAATGATGGCCGCCTCCTTCTGTAAGTAGACAGTCCTGATAGCAGCCGAAATATCACGCCACAACTTCCTCACGTTGTGACCTAAAAGACATCAGAAATAACACGACACAACTTCCTAATGTTGTGACCCACAATATATCAGAAATATCACGTCACAGCTTTCTAACGTTGTGAACTACAAGACACGGCCAAAGTTATCTTCCTAACGTTGTGACCATCAAAACAACAGATATATCACGCCAAAACGTCCTAACGTTGTGACCTAGAAGACAACAGAAATATCACGTTGTGATCTACAAGACAACAGAAATATCACGCCACAACTTCCTAACCTTGTGACCTAGAAGACAACAGAAATATCACGTTGTGATCTACAAGACAACAGAAATATCACACCACAACTTCCTAACGTTATGACCTTCAAGACATCTGAAATAACACGCCTCAACTTCCTTACATTATGACATACAAGGTACAGCCAAAGTTATCTCCCTTACTGAATTCACAAACCAAATCGCATTGGCCGTGTGGCTTCTGATTAATTCTTATAAATTATGTATGAGTTTGTATATGTACGCATCTATATAAAGCTGATGAACTAATCATGATCCTAGGAATCATCAAGTATGGAACATTTACTTAGATAAATAAATTAATTATAATAAGGTATGTGCACAAAAATTCGGAATTCCTGTTTTAGTAATATTTGCTTCATTTATGGACAGTTTACGACTACATTAATGTGGATGATAAATTCACAATTTTCACTTCAATAACTTTTCAAAGCAATAGTCAGTCACTGTTCCACATTTTCTCTTTTCTTACAGCAATGTGGCAAAACATGTATCTATTGTGGAATGATATTTGTACATGGGGTCAATGTTTGAATTTTTACTGGTTCCTTGGGACGTAATTCTATGGATAATGTGTATGTTGTAATATCATAGACACATTCCGTGTTCAACGTATATGTGTATTCATATTCATGGGAATACTGTAAACGTACTTCATTCAATTCCACTCACACAAACAAGAGACATCAAATCAAACTTGCGTATTTCAGCCAGAACCTTCACAGGGGGCGAGAACTATTTGCACCATTTTCTGACATAATGTCCGAACTTTCACGTTGTCAAAGTCTTTCTTGTTGATGATTGATGCACCAGGCCTATCGTCTCTGTGTATGTTGAGTGGTCATTGATCGTACCTTTGAGGCATGGATTTAAAATCATGCTTTTAAGCCAAAGCATGCCTCCTAGGCCATTTGGACATTAAATTTGATCTGATCCTTCTCAATTCAGTCACGGTTTGTTGTGCTGACCACTGAGGGTGAGAAGCAGCAATTTGTTTACCTATCTTACCCATGTCATTCATGCCAAAATTTTTCTTTTGACCAGACCCTGGTCACTATATCTACAAGCCCCTCTCAAAATCTCTTGAGGTGAGATCTATCGTTAGTGGTAGGTCTTGGTTTGTCTGCTATTTTTCACGATTTTTATGCTGGTGTGGTTCTGTTTACATATGGATTGTGGGGATTTTTCGGTAATACATATTTTAACGAGAGGATTCATTTCAAAATTAGACATTCTTTTTGCCCCATATTACAAAGAGACTATTTTTTTTCAAATAAACTTCTTTAAATGAAAAAAGATAAATTGAGGTATATAAAAAATGCATTTGTCCCTTACCTTTCCTTTCCAAATAGGCATTCAATGATTCCTTAAAGTTGAAATTTAATTCTCTATTCAGCTTTTTCAGGGATGGCATCTATAAAAACATTTTTTTTCATATTAGTACATTTTTCTTTAGAAATCACTCATTTGTGTGCAACTGTCCATTACTACAGGTCATTTCTCCTAGAACCATTAAATATGATATTTTATACCTTTTATCCACTAAAATTTTGTATTTATGAATTAAAACCTTCATTTTTAAGGTGTTAAAATTGAAGACGCAATAGGTTATCGTTAAACACTTTTAACTAGCGATTCATAAGGAAAAATACTATACTTAATTGTGGTTAACTATTTTAGATTAGAGTTTCAAAGTTTTCACTAAAGTAAAAGTTTAAAAGTATTTTTTTCTGCAGTAAACAAAAGTCGCAATGGTTTTGCTATTGTTTATCCATTTTTTAAGTGTTTCCTTGTAATTAAAGTTTCAAGGTTCTGTTTTTGTTTATTAATTTTGCAACATGTATTTTTATCAAATATTTCGATGATTAAGTCGTTAAAAGGGGTGGATATTGGATTGATTTTGGGCTTGTTTTTTTGTACATATTGAGTTATTAGCTGCAATAATGTAGCCCTCTCCGATTTTTTTTTTTACAGCTACAACTCCTTAGGATCTCTATAATGGCGCAGATGCGGCAGTGGATCATTCCCGCAAGAATTTCGTCTCAAATTATCAGTAAACGGCTATCTGATTATTATCTCTTACCTGTAATCCAAATATGTAATTATGCAAAACATTAATCGATCCAAAAATATTCACAACGACCAATATATCGGGTATTTTTCGTGTGTGTCAACAGCTTAACTTGAATTTATCCGCCATGTTTACTGACCTTGATTGATTGTATTTTGGGACAGCCAATGAGAATTTAGGTTCTATAGGAGCGGATCTACTAGGAATTCCCTTATTTTAAGCATACGTATCGCTGTTTGCGCAAAAATAACACTTGAAATGGTTTTATTTATCGATGTTTTTGTAATATATTATAGCACAATCGTTTATAAACATCGACATTTGCTTTATTTGGTTGTTCCAAATTTCAAGCGAAAGTCTCACTACGTCACGCGTGAACTGTCATGGCTGCTGAATATTGCAGCTGGGAAAGACTCAGATTTATTTAACATGGTTTTCGAGTTTAACAGGCTATGTTGTTGTCAGTGAATAAAAATTCCGTCTTATAAGAAGTAAGTTTAATGTAAAAATAATTTATTTTGCCTTCAATCACCCGTATCAAAAAAATATATTTGCACCATTACGGAGATGCGATGGAATTGTAGCCCTCTCCAAAAAATATCAGATAAAAAAAATCGAAGAGGGCTCGTTATTGCAGCTAATTGAGTTATATAAACAAAGTAGTATTAATATTGTAATTCGAATGCAATATTATAATTGAAACTTCAAAACAAATAGTTAGATCTTAATTCCCCTAAAATACTTGATGTAGCAGATATTTTGATTCTTAATAGCACAGTTTGTATTCAATAGTATATTTTTCTTTCTATAAATAAAACCAACGCTACATCTCCATAACATTGATTACTTACATTTAAATAGATATTGCTTACTTATTGGTGCAAAATACAAAAGCAATATACATGAATTCAATATTCATGAAATAATAGCGAGCGCAATAGACTAACGTGTATGAACATAGGAAATTCGGATTAAAAATCTGTACATACATCAGGCAAATTTCTCTGTGAAACATTCCCAGAATTTCTGAACTACCCAATGTCCTTTCCGCAAATAAATAAATAAATAATAACGTAAGGCATAACAGGCTATCAGTTTGTAGAAATCTTTCAAAGAAACAAAAAAGAACTCTGCAATGTGTTTTCGACAAAAATTGCACTAGGTCTCTAGTTGCAACCAAACGCTCGGCTGTCTCCGTAAGCTCCGACGAGCTCCGTGACGTCGTGTGACGTCACAGCTAGGTGAGATGTCTTGTGTGGCTTGATGTTTGAAGTGGCTGATCAATTTTTCAAGAAATTTCAAGTGTTTTTGATGGTACAACTGCGCTCGCCCCAACGGTCACACCGTAAAACATATTCATTACTTTTACATTGTATATTAATCTTTTATGGGAGGTGTCAGGTTTTTTTTTAATTCTCTGTGGCTTTTTGAATCTCATTCTGAATCTTAATCTTGAAATATCATTAAATGTAAAGAATGGGAATCAAAAATATAATACAAGTGATTTTATCGCACTTAATGTTCCAAAGTTTTCATTAAAGTGAATCAAAGTTCCAAAGTTGTCATTATCTTGAATGAAAGTTCAAAGTTTTTACTATAGTCAATCTAAGTACCAAAGTGTTCACTATGGTGTGTCAACGTTCCAAAGTTTTTTACTATAGATGATCAAAGTTCCAAAGTTCCAAAGTTCACTATAGTACATAAAAATCACAGTTCCAAAGCTTTAACTTTGGTACGTTGGTAGTGTACCATAATATCTTTTGTTATGGAGGTCTTTATTTTACGCATAATAATGCACAAAAAAATCGTTTTAGAAAATTTATTTGTATTCTTTAAAAAGATAATATACAATACATGAAATAATAACCTGAATTGGTGTCAATTTAATCTCAATTGTTAATTAAAAAAAGCTTTTTTGAAACAATAAGGTATTTTTTTCAGTATGCAGTAAAGTAGTCAGGATATTGCTGATTTTTTTTCATAAATAGGACAAAGATTTTACGCGTACCTTCCAAACTGGAGTGAAATCATCTCGCACGACATACTTGCTGGTGTTACGGGCATCAAAAGGATAATAATCTTGAGAACAGAACCTACAAATATTTCATTTGTCTCTTCTACAGATCTAAAATTAGACATATGGCATAATTTAATGTGTATATCTGCTAAACAGTAACAAGTATATACAAACTAGATGCTGTCATGAGACAGTAATACCCGCACTAAGGTGTTTGCCTCTAAATGCACACTCCTCTAAAATTAGGCTTTACCAAAGAAAAAGTCAATATAATTTAATAATTTACATAATAGGGCCTCCATGTACTCATCAAATTGAGCATAATATTCTCAAGTGAACATGTGACCCATGGGCCTCGATCTTATAGGTACATGTATTTCATATTCATAATTCATTACCAGTCTGAAATTAAACAACAGAATTCAATTAATGATGTAAATTAGGTTTGAAACAAGGGGGGGGGGGGGGTAAATTTTTGGCCCATAATTGGAACTTTTTAAATCTATTTTCTCATATAGATCAACAACAAATATTATTCAAATTAGTTTAAAGCGTTTTTGATGATTTTTTCCAAAATGTACAAACTTTTTTATACTTGATTAGGCAGAGACACCTTGAAAGCTGCCATATACCATGTATACCCAATCAATTTAGTCAACCCCCACCCTTCTCCCATCAACACACACACGCAAACACACCCTATTTTCCTGTTTTTGGAAATAGGCCTAGATGGCAAAGTTAAGATAAAACATCTTTTGTAAATAATAATTTTAAATTTGTTCTTATACTGTAAATGTATCTGAAGACTTGCATCACATTTGGCTTGCGTCACGTACCTAACTTAAGTACTAGTTTTACCATTATCATTTTTAGATCTATAGCACTGCACGTGCAGTACTAGTAGTGTTGTGTACACATCATTGCATGTATGTCAGTTGGAATTATTTTGTGTTTAATTGGATTATATTTCATGAAGTTGGAGCTATGGCAGTCGGTAAGTACACGTTTTGGTATAGATTTGGGTAAAATAGTCTGAAATGCAACTGGTTAGGTTAAAGTTTAAAGGATCAAAGGTCATCCGATGCTGCAATAAGACGAATTTCACATTCTAAAGAGTTATCGCCCGTTATCGACGTTACATTCAGTTACAAAATACAGAATTTTTTTCTGAGAGGGAGGGGGGACTTCCAGACCAGAATTTCCTGAGAAGCAAATAAAAGGAGAAGTTATGGTGGTGTCTGTTTTCTAGGGTGGAGGGCATCCAAAGTCTTTTTTATATTATAGTCCTGCAAATTCGGGGGGGGGGGGGGGGATCTCAAGATACACTTCCAGTCCCTGTAAACAGTAATGGCAAATGATCATGTGACTCCTAAATAGTGGGAAACTTTTTCCATTTGACTATACATAATTTTGCGCTTTTTGTGTTATTATGTTATGTAAATTTAATGGTATAAAGGTTTTGAACCCCCTGGAGGTCATCCCCACTCTCCTAATGATTCTAACTGGAAATGTTCACAATATGACTGCATTAAATGAAATAAAAGTGCATCAATGATAAGATTGCTTGACATTTCATTCATCAACCTATCCTCCTAGAATAAGGAATGAAAATCATTCAAAGAGATGGACCACATTAAAGTATTTGTATATAGGCTATTAACATATTTTTTTAAAAATGTAAAACAAGCAGTAGTTTGCATACATGTCATGAATATAAACAGGGGTCTGGGATGGGGTGAGGGGAAGGATCGAGTTCCTGTCTCTTTACGTCTTAATGGTTGAAAACTCCTAAAATGAATGTTGACCTCAAATCCGACTTGTCCTCATTATTTTTCAAGTGGGGGTGTCTCCATTTGAGTGAAAAATTCCTGAGAGGGATGTTTAACAACAAACAAACAATTAAATGACATAAAAACACAATATTGATTTGCGTTAAGAAATATGCAGGGGATTTTTTCCATCATAAATCTTCTTCTCAAGAACAGCAAGGGCATTAATTATTGTCCCCCGTTTTGGGGGAAAGGGAGGGAACATTAAATCTTATTTGTCTGTCAGTCTGGCCATCTTTGACAGTATGTGCATCCGTCACAATAAATTTAACCTTGATCATAACTTTTGAATAATATGAGATAGGGCTTTCATATTTCACATGTACATTACCACAAAACTTTCTAAATGTACTTTGATTTTTTAACCCAAGTGAGACCTTGACCTCAAAATTTTACCTACTTTCCAAAAAATAACATTTTAAATTAAACATTTTGAAAGAGAAAAGATATGGCATTTAAATTATACATGTATATTACATGTGAAAAGACTTTTCTAAATATATCATGACTTTTGACTTTCTGATCTTGACCTAGAAGTTTAACCTACTTTTCAAAAATATTATATTATATATTTATATATATATATATATATAACTTTTGATTGAAAAGAGATGGGTCTTTCATATTTGACATGTACTTTACCTGCAACAAAATATTTCGAGCATGCGATGATTTCCCCCCTTTGACCTAATTTTCATAAAGTGACATATGATAGGGATGCATATTTGATACACAATCTGCCATAAATTATGGCATCCCATTCACTTAAACACAGAAAGCAAAGGACCACAATTCTTTGAATTTGCATGTATAATCTTGATATGGAAACATCCTCATATAATGTATATTCAAGTTTTTTATGCTACGCCATGATTAGGAATACATGTATTAGTTTTTGTCATGTCCGTCCTCCACCCTTCCATCTGTCTTTCCATCGAGCTCAAAGAAATTATTTTCTAGATATTTTATCAAAGTTCATATGCTGATGCATATACTGATGTAAACTATCCAACTGTGGCAATATTTTTTATGCGCCCGGATCGATAGATCCCGGGCATATATTGTTTTTGTCCTGTCTGTTTGTCTGTTTGTCTGTTTATCTGTTTGTCTGTTTGTCTGTTTGTCTGTTGTCAACTTTAACCTTGGCCATAACTTTTGAACAATAAGAGATAGAGACTTCATATTTGGTATGCATACTCCACTATTAAAGTCCTTTCAAATGACATCAAGGTCAATGACCTTGTGACCTTGACTGTGACCTATATGCTAAAAATAGCTTTTTCCACTGTTTGTCATAACTTTTTAACCATAGGAGATAGGGACTTGATATTTGGTATGCATACTCCTTAATGGTTGATGGTTTAATAAAGCCCTTTCAGTTGACAACAAGGTCAATGATCTTGTGACCTTGACTGTGACTTATATGCTAAAAATAGTTTTTTACACTTTTTGCCTTAACTTTTGAACCATAGGAGATAGGAACCTCATATTTGGGATGCAAACTCCACAGATTAAGTTCTTTCAAATGACACCATGGTCAATGACCTTGTGACCTTGACCGTGACCTAGATGCTAAAAATAGCTTTTTACACTATTTGCCATAACTTTTTAACCATAGGAGATAGGAACTTCATATTTAGGATGCATACTCCACTGATTAAATTCTTTCAAATGACACCATGGTCAATGACCTTGACTGTGACCTATATGCTAAAAATAGCTTTTTACACTTTTGGCCATAACTTTTAAACCATAGTAGATAGGGACTTCATATTTGGGATGCATACTCCACTGATTAAGTTCTTTCAAATGACACCACGGTCAGTGACCTTGTGACCTTGACTGTGACCAATATGCTAAAAATAGATTTTTTGAACTTTGTTTCCACCGGGCGCATAGTGTTTCACAAACACATCTTGTTTACCTTTACTTTCCTTTGACCTTTACTTAACTTTTCTTAAAATTAGTGTTTAGCTTTATTTTAGAGAAACCATAATGATTCAAGTTGTGTAATGAAACTTCACATGATGATACATACTGATGTAAGCAATTAAAGCTTTACAATGCTTCACTCTTTTTTACCTTGATATTTCCTGTGATATTGACCTCACTGTCTTAGACTAGATCAGTTTTGAATAAACAGTTCAAGATATATTAATCAAACTTCATATGCTAATACATACTGATGAGAGCTATTATTGCATTAACTTATTTTGACCTTGAATTTTCTTTTGACCTTGACCTCACTTTTTAAAATATGTGTTTATCTAAGTTTCAAATAAACCATTAATTATATTTTTATCAAAATTCATATGATAATAGTAAATTCACACTGATGTAAGCTTTTCAGCTAGAACAACATTTTGACCACAACCTTTCCTCTGACTTCTCTTTTCTTAAAACAAAGTGTTAAGCTCAGTTTCATTAAATCATTCAAGATATTTTTATCAAACATAATAAGCTAATATGTATTAGTGAGAGCTATTCAGCTGCATCAAAAACTTCATCTTGCACATTCCTGTGACATTGACCTCCCTCCTCTTTAATATGTATTTTGCTTAGTTTTTAAGAAATAATTTAAGACATTTTTATGTTTAACATGCACTTATACATAATTTGATGAGAATTTATTATCTATATCCAATTTATTTATATTTTAGTTTCAATTCTGAAAAAAAAACTGTTTAAGATATTTTCATCAAACTTTATACACAAATACAAATTTTAGTTTTTAGTTTTTAGCTCACCTGAGCCGAAGGCTCAAGTGAGCTTTTCTGATCATATTTTGTCCGGCGTCCGTCTGTCTGTCTAGCTGTCTGTAAACTTTTCACATTTTCGACTTCTTCTCAAGAACCACTGGGCCATTTCAACCAAACTTGCCACAAAGCATCCTTGGGTGAAGGGGATTCAAGTTTTTTCAAATGAAGGGCCATGCCCTCATTCAAGGGGAGATAATTGGGAATTAATGAAAATTTGGTGGCATGTTTTAAAAATCTTCTTCTCAAGAACCACTGTGCCAGGAAAGATGAAACTTATGGGTTAACATCCTCAGGTAGTGAATATTCAAGTGTGTTCAAATCATACCCCCCGGGGGTAGGGCAGGGCCAAAATGGCCGACCAAAGTTTTATATAGAAATATATTGGAAAATTCTTTAAAAATCTTCTTCTCAAGAACCACTGTGCCAGGAAAGATGAAACTTATGGAGTAACATCCTCAAGTAGTGTAGATTCGAGTTTGTTAAAATCATGAGCCCCGGGGGTAAGGCGGGGCCACATTGGCTGACCAAAGTTTTACATGAAAATTAATAGGAAAATTCTTTTAAAATCTTCTCAAAAATAGCAAAGCCGTGATTGATCATATTTATATGGAAGCATCTTCAGGTAGTGTAGATTCTAGTTTGTTCAAATCATGACCCTGGGGGTAGGGCGGGGCCAAAAAGGCCGACCAAAGTTTTACATAGAAATTTATGGGAAAATTCTTTAAAAATCTTCTTCTCAAGAATGACAAATCCATAATTCATCATATTTATATGGAAGCATCTTCAGGTAGTGTAGATTCAAATTTGTACAAATCATGACCCAAGGGGGTAGGGCGGGGCCAAAATGGCCGACCAAAAGTTTTACATAGAAATATATGGGAAAATTCTTTGAAGAAAAGCAAATCCATGATTCATCATGGGATTACTTTTGGATTTTAACTTTTCAATAATAAACCAATTTCTACTTTTTCTTAGCTTCAGTACTCAGGTGAGCAATGTGGCCCATGGGCCTCTTGTTTAATGTACCATTAGTAATACACATCTGGCGGGACATTCATGTCCTATAGACATATTTCTAGTTTTCCAAATCATCACCTCAGGCTAGGGTCAGGCCACAATTAGGGATCAAAGTTTTATTAAGGAATAAAAGGAAACACATCTTTAAAGTTCACCAAGAAAAGAACACCAAGAGCATGATTAATATGGAAATATTCTCAAGAGGTGTAGATTCAAGTTTGTACAAATCATGACCACCAGGGTTAGGGAGGTGCCATATTTTTCCAGCCCCATTTTGCCATCCATATGAAAATTCAAATTTTAAAACCATTTTACACATACACAAAACAAACCAATCATTTTCTAAATGATCATGGTTTAAAGCTATTGCAGCATAAGATATTAGGGAAGTTCTTGAATGCAGGGTGATTAAACATGTCAAATATATGTAAAAAAAAAAATATGTTAAAATTCTACCTCGATTTGATCCCCATCCCCCCACCCCCCGGGCAAAATGAAAATTCCGAAACCTTACTGCACATCTACATGACACCACCAACCATCTCTCAAAAGATGCTTAGGCTGCTGAGTAAAATGTAGTAGGAGTTCAGGGAAGAAGGGGCTTTTTGTATAAAAAACGTCATTTTTCGACCCCCATTTGATCCCCCGGGGCAAAATCGAAATTCCGAAACCTTACTGCACATCTATATGACACCACCAACCATCTCTCAAAAGATGATTAGGCTGCTGAGTAAAATGTAGAAGGAGTTCAGGGAAGAAGGGGCTTTTTGTATAAAAAACGTCATTTTTCGACCCCCGTTTAATCCCCTGGGGCAAAATCAAAATTCCGAAACCTTACTGCACATCTACATGACACCACCAACCATCTCTCAAAAGATGATTAGGCTGCTGAGTAAAATGTAGAAGGAGTTCAGGGAAGAAGGGGCTTTTTGTATAAAAAACGTCATTTTTCGACCCCCATTTGATCCCCTGGGGCAAAATCAAAATTCCGAAACCTTACTGCACATCTACATGACACCACCAACCATCTCTCAAAAGATGATTAGGCTGCTGAGTAAAATGTAGTAGGAGTTCAGGGAAGAAGGGGCTTTTTGTATAAAAAACGTCATTTTTCGACCCCCATTTGATCCCCCGGGGCAAAATCAAAATTCCGAAACCTTACTGCACATCTACATGACACCACCAACCATCTCTCAAAAGATGATTAGGCTGCTGAGTAAAATGTAGAAGGAGTTCAGGGAAGAAGGGGCTTTTTGTATAAAAAACGTCATTTTTCGACCCCCATTTGATCCCCTGGGGCAAAATCAAAATTCCGAAACCTTACTGCACATCTACATGACACCACCAACCATCTCCCAAAGGATGATTAAGCTACTGTGAAAAATGTAGGAGGAGTTCAGGGAAGAAGGGGCTTTTTGTATAAAAAAACGTCATTTTTCGACCCCCATTTGATCCCCAGGGGCAAAATCAAAATTCCGAAACCTTACTGCACATCTACATGACACCCCCAACCATCTCCCAAAGGATGATTAAGCTACTGTGAAAAATGTAGGAGGAGTTCAGGGAAGAAAAGTGTGACAGACGGACGGACGGACGGACGGACGGACGGACGGACGGACATGAGTAACAACAATATACCCGAACTTTCTTTCGAAAGTGCGGGTATAAAGACACTCTTAGTGGATTTATAGATGTCAATATGGTGTAAACTCCAATGTCAAATTATACTGACCTGATAGAAGCCTCAGTTTCTATAGTATACACCCTCAGTGGATTTATAGATGTCAATATGGTGTAAACTCCAATGTCAAACTTCCTGTAATCAGTTATTATTCATAAAACTACAGACATTGAAGGTTTCAAGTATAATTTTGAACAAAGTATTTTAAATAGAAATGTGATTAATGATATTGAAGAATAGGATTACAAAATTGCTTCTCACACTTTATTTAGTCATACTGATTGGAGGAAATTTTGAAGTGTTTCTGTGTTTCTTAGCAAACAAAACGTTTACCGTCCATATCTTACCTGCCATCAATAAGAAATGGTCGGTCCACAAACACCTGAACAAAGGAACCTTCCTCTGACAAGTCTAGTTCTGTTAAAAAAAAAAACAGAGAAATTATTCTTATTCAGGTCTGTTAGAAAACATTGGGGAAGTTACTCGCTTTAATTTTGCACAAATACCTGGTAAGTTCCTTTGATTTATTGTGATTGTGAGGAAACTTGTTAAAGTAGAGATACTTCAATTACATTTTTTTAAAACAAAATTTACTGTAAATTCTTTTGGTTCCAATACAGTACTAACCCTGTACATTTGTTATCTTGATTCCTCTGTGGTTGTTCCTTTTCTTGACCCACAGCGTGTCTGGATGCTCCTCTGCCTGTAAGTTTATGATTATGTGTATCAATTAATTACAAAGCTGACCATTTAAGCTCAGTTAACAACTTAAACTCTGATGTTATATCAATTTAAATTGACTATAGCCTTGTATTGAAAGTCATTCACTTGTACATGTTTGATTATGTTAAATAAATGTTTTGAGTTTTGAAGTCAAATTTATTTTGAAGAAAAAAATTGCGCAGCTTAAGTGATGAAAACCAAATAATTTTAAGTCACAAAATAACAAAATATGTGTACATCTTTTTAGTCATAACGTCGGTAGTTTTCCGGGGGTTGCTACTTGTGCCCCTGACAAAGCTTCACCTTGGATCTACTTAGAGGTTTCATGGCCTTTAAACCCATTCTAAAACTGTTGGGCCATCCACTGACTTTGAGGTACACATTGTATATCTAGTCTGATTAATTGCACTTTGATTTACAAATTATATGCATGACCTGATTGAATGGAGTCTGAAAAAGTATTGTATAATTGACATAGTTGAAGGGTGTGTTTCATCTTATTTACATATTGCATATCTGAGATATAATATAACTATACACTTTGACATACATATTGTAAATCTGACCTAATTGTATACACTCTAACTTACATTTTGTATATCTGACTTAGTTAAGTAAGCTTTGACTTATACATCGTATATCTGACCTAATGTACATACTGTATATATTTGACTTATTAAAAATTTTACTGACTTACATATTGAAGAAATTTGTCCTTTTCCTTGGGGATCCTGAAGGCCCTGGGTATATAGGGATTTATGGAGACTGCTAGATGGACCTTACTGGTGATGAAACCTGACCCAGGGAAATGGTTTACCTGTATTCAGGTGAGAATCAGGGTGAAATTTCACATACATAAAAATTATTTAAAATTTTATCTCTCAAGCAATCATAATATTTACATATTAATAAATATTCATGTATATACTTTATCATGATATTTGTCACTCAGTTCTTAGACAAATAACTTGTTTAACAGACCAGTGACTGCATGTGCCTTGAACACGGGTGAGATATATAACATCAACTTCTTTTATCGACGTTTCGAGAGAATATAATAAAACAGAAACTTTACTGATATCTTTGTTTTATAATTTAAAATCTTTAAGGGACTCCGATCCTCAGCCAGGAAGGACAACTCTTTAATTTATCATTTAATTCAAAAATTCTTTAAATGAAGCTTGAAAATTAAATATTTCCATGCAACAATTTTCATTATATGCCTTTCAATGCGCATCAAGGTTCTTTGCAAAGCTCCATAAATCACTTCTAATTTCATATCATGTTAAATCATTGGTATTTTAAAATGCTTTTCGGCTTTAAATTAGACCTTTCTAAGGAGTTCAAAAAACCTTGAAGCACATTAAGATGCATATAATAAAAATCTTTGCATGAAAAAATTTAATTTTCAAGCTTTATTTAAATACATTTTGTTTTAAATTATAAAATAAAGAGTTGTCCTTCCTGGCTGAGGGTTGGAGTCCCCTAACCACAACACATACCTTCTGATGAGGCTTAAGATTCGAGATTTTTTTGGCCAACTGTACAAACGGATACTCATGTGACCAGAGTACATCCCAATCAGACTTGTTATCACCAACAGCATATCCTATCCTCTCAAACACGGATATCACGTGATTCAGGTATCCAGACTCTAGCTGAAATATATTAAATACATCATATCCTCTCCTCTCAAACACGGATATCACGTGATTCAGGTATCCAGATTCCTGCTGAAATATATAAAATACAACATATCCTATCCTCTCAAACACGGATATCACGTGATTCAGGTATCCAGACTCCTCCTGAAATATATAAAATACAACATATCCTATCCTCTCAAACACGGATATCACGTGATTCAGGTATCCAGACTCTAGCTTTAATATATAAAATACAACATATCCTATCCTATCAAACACAGATATCACGTGATTCAGGTATCCAGACTCCTGCTGAAATATATAAAATACAACATATCTTAACCTCTCAAACACAGATATCACGTGATTCATGTATCCAGACTCTAGCTGTAATATATAAAATACAACATATCCTATCCTCTAAAACACGGATATCACGTGATTCAGGTATCCAGACTAGCTGAAATATATAAAACACAACATATCCTATCCTCTCAAAAACTTCAATCACGTGATTCAGGTATCCAGACTCTAGCTGAAATGTATAAAATACAACATATCCCATTCCTTCAAATACTGTAAATATATGCATCAAGTATCAACTCTCTAGCTTAAACGCATTAAGCAAAACGTATCCTATTTGTTCAAATACTGCAAATACTTGATTCAACTATCGACGCTCTAGTTTGACAGAAAAGTGAGAAAAAATCTAGACAGGTCGACAGGTCGAAAAGTAAGCTAATCCATAGGAAGACAGGTCAACGGGTTGACAGATGGACAGGTTGACGGGTTGACAGAATGATGAGTTGACAGGTCGACATGTAGACTGGTCAAAGGGATGACAGATTGAGAGGTAAACGGGTTACCATATCGAATGGTCAATGGGTTGACAGATCGACGGATGAACATGTTGATCAATAAGTGTCGACCTTTGTAATGACAGTGTATTTTAAACTATAAGTTCTGTAACCTGTCGATCTTTGTGATGACACTGTATTTTAAGAGTTAGTATTGTCACGTGTCTATTCTTGTGATAACACTAGGTTTAACAATGAGTGATGTCATCTGTCAACCTTTGTGATGACAATGAAAATTCAAAGTGGAATTGTCGACCATTCTGTGAAGGATGCACTATTTTTATAGCATTTATAAAGCAATAAGCATTAAGGCAAGATATTCCTCTTTGTATATTATAAAGGTAACTATTTCTTTTTCTTATTTCAAATTTGAAAGATGATAATTGGTTTTACGAATCTTCTTTTCCGCATACCTTAGTTGAACCACAAAGACTAGATTTTTCTGAGAAAAGAATGTAATCTTAATTCTAGACAATTGGGAACCCTTATTTAATTACTACGGCAGAAATCTTTGAAATCACCACTCAATTGATTTTGAATCTGCTATAATAAAACTGACTACTGTCCAAGATGGGACTATTTTTTACAACTTAACATAATACAAAATAGCATTATACACAAGATGAAATGTTCCCATTAAGCTTGACTTAATGGTAGCTTATAGGTGCTTAATGGTGGCTTAAAGGTCACCTTTAAGCAACCATTAAGTTACCATTAAGCAGCTATAAGCCACCATTAAGCTACCATTAAGTAACCATTAAGCCACCATTAAGCCAAATTTCTAACTTAATGGTAGCTTAATGGTGGCTTAATGGTTACTTAATGGTAGCTTACAGGTCCTTAATGGTTGATTTTAGACAGTCTTTAAGTCACCATTAAGCCACCATTAAGCTAGACTTACAGGTGCTTAATGTCCAAACTCCATTAAGCAACCATTAAGCCACCATTAAGCCACCTTTAAGCTATCTTCAAACTGCCTTTATTCAAACTTTAAGCTGGCATTTCACATATTAAAGGTGGTATTTTACATATTTTAAGATGGCACTTTTCATATTAACCTCTCTTTACCTTGGTAAGAAGATAATTATTTTTGGGGTATTATGTGAATAAAATGACTTTTGTCTAAATTACTGTTAAAATATTCTTTCATAATCAGACTCAAAGAAAGAGATGCTGAATTTAGTCTTTTTCTCATCGTAGTACTAATCCTAATTCAGGCGCAAGCAGAAAACCATTACAGTGAATGTATTCAGACTATTATAGTCAAATGATTTTCATTCTCTTAGTTTTGATGACTTTCAAATACAAGCATCATTTTCTGCAATCTTATTAAAATTAGATGTTAGATTCGCTCGCATACTTGCTACACTAATATCTAACAACATCCCATAGAGGGTCATGTCAGGGGTCAAATTTGGAACAGCTCTAAACTTATTCGCTTCAACGATATACAATGATTTTGCTGGCGACGATTTGATTGGTTGATAGAATTTGATCTCTGACATGATCCTCTTTTGGATGTTGTTAGATGTTAAGTGTAGCGATTACACGAGCAGATCTAACATCTAATTTTAATTAGATTGCCTTTTCTGTAACAGTTTTACTGAAAAACAGGCCTTCTTATGATGCACTCAAGACAAAAAATCAAGGACAAATATTTATTGTAGATCAATTTATTAGTGTATTGTGCATGTATCCAATTTCTCTCTCTCCTGCTCTCAGTTTTTAATTGAAAAACACATAACGATGAAATTTGTCTACTTAATTGTACATTCTATGAATAAATAAACACAATTGTCAATCATCTATGACAAGGATGTTAAGAGAGATCAATAAATAAATAAATAAATAAGGAAAGCTATGGGATTTATCTTTAAGAATAAATAAATACAAAATAATAACAATAACACTCTTGAAGAAATTGAATCTAGTCCTTAAGTCATATAAAAGTTCAAGTCCAAGATGTTGTTATCACTATACTGTCCTTTGTTCCTGTATGTAAGTGAATTAGCTGGAGTCAGCCTGTTCCTCCTCTTCCTCCTCATCTTCACTGTCTCTCCAGCTACTTCTTATCACCCAAGATGGACAGCTAGAAGGGGGTTTTCTTCTGGACGGGATTTCCAGGTAAACTCTCTTTCTCTTATTCCCCTTCAGATGGGCTGGCAAAATTCTCTCATATTCTTCCTCAAGAGCTTCCTTGGCCTTCCTGAACTTCTTCTTCTGCCAAGACAGGCGTCGAACCTTGAAGATCTTTTCACCATCCTCCATGTCGGACTCCTCTGAGGACATGTAATCTGGCTTCAGCAAAGGTCGTACCTTCTCCCTGGCCAGAGATGTAAAGGGGGCAGTTTTGATGGCCTTTTGCAATCGTAAGCATCGCTGAAAATAAAGAAAAGAAGAAATGTAAAGTTTTAAACATCAATTACAAATGTAGTGATCTATACAAATATTCAACTGGAAGGGGGATCGTGTGTTAAAAATTAGATACAGTAAAACTTGTTTAGTACGAACACGGATATAGCAAATTCACGGATATAGCGAAGTCATTTTGAATCCGCAGCTATATAAATTTAATGATTTTCTTATACGGTTATAACAAATTACAGATATAACGAAGTAATTTCAAAGGTCCCAGCGATATCCCAGTTATAACCGAGTTTTGCTGTATACATATAGAAAATACATTGTTTCACCTATATGTGGAAAAAAAAGTGAGTC